GAGGTGCCTCCAGTATCATCACCCAGGTCCAGCAGACCGGGGGCCCGCCAATCAACACTCTTGGTGGTATGTTTGGTAACCAAGGCCGCTTGATATGCTTTGCGCTAATATGTTATAATAGATATTGGCGGAGATGAACACGTCGGTCTCGACCTTCGGTAGGATCACACATTGGTTGATATCTCAATTATGCATAGTCTAACAAGTTAATAGTGGTACCCGGTTCACCCTTTCGCGAGATGAGCTGTTGACTTTGCCTGAATTCGTTCTGCTTTCCCTCTTCCCCAATGGCCTCCTCCCGGATGGACATGCTACAAATGGGTTCCATGACGGGGATGTATTCCCAGTTGATGTACGCAAATCCATATGTTGGGCATCAAGGAAATCTTTGCTGACAGCTATTATCCAGTATGACCCGGTCTCACTTCAGTACATGCTGGATTTCTTCCGAACTGTTGCCCAAACCATCCCCTCATCTCTGCCTTCCGGCTCAAGCTCACCAGACTTGGATATGTCGGACGCAATGCAGGGTTCAGCACGTGACATGCTGCAAGACCGTGCTGGCATCATTGTCCTCCGAGAGGACCTCGACTTCTACGTGATCCCCCCTCGCGCCGAGATTGGACACGATGAAATGCTTGAAGTCAAGCGGGCAGCTGGTAGGTCGCTGTTGAGACAGGACGGCATCTTTTCGGGACTGCGGAAGAGCGAGGAGATTGGTTCCACCGAGCAGCATCTTATTGAAATGCTGACAGCCGGGTTAGTAAAATCCAAGATTTCAATCATGGACCGACGCTAATATATGATGTAGAGGTTTTGATCGTGCTGACCAGTGGGGCCACCGTGCCCCAGAGCCTAACAAGGCAGTAATCTGCAGTCTTGCACTGGCCAAACTCCGCACCGATATTCGCGGAGACCTATCAAACAACAACTCCGTGGGCATGGCCCAGAAGCTTCTCCTGTTCTGGCGGAAGCCTGCCCGCCGCTGCTGGTGGGAGGGTATCGAGTTGGACGATGTGGAGGGCGTCGAGGGGCCAGTCAAGGTCTGGATCCGGCGTGTGTGGACTTTGGAGATGGTAAGACCCCCATCCTTGGCAAACTCGAAGCTCTTGATAGCTAATCCCGTCGCAGAGTGTTATTGGACTTCGATGATTTTTTCCCCTAATTTTCCTTGCATATGCGATTACCATTCCCCCGGCCTTGTGCCTCGAAGTTTCGAATGTTATTTTTTTTTTCCAAAGTTGCATTTAAATATGTCAGCAACAATCATTCTGATTTTCATCCTACCAACAGCAGCGCTGGCGTACTCAGCAGTTTGGGTGTTCTCATTCCTTTCAGTGTGTTCATTTTCTAGTCAGATTGGTAAATTTTTCCTTGGATAGCCACTAGTTTAGCTGTGAAGTTTGAATATATGGTGCATATCTAGCATTCTGGGAATTGTAGCCTTTCTCTCAACCACATTCCATTTGCTTGTTTTGGATTTGTGTCTTGTATGGATGCGACAATGCTCCCAGTCCACCACATAGCCAGGACCCAAGAACAATGGGGAAATGCCAGTGTCTATTGATGAAGTGCTGATTCTATTGATGATCCTATTGATGATATTTACAAGAATTAATATGCCTATTGACCTGTTGACTATAACGTTTGAATGTGATGGCCTGAGGCATGGGACACGTGATGCCCTCCCTGGAATGGGACTAGCGTCAAATTGGTCAAAGTCGCGCAGAATATCGATCCCAGAGCCGATCTCTCCAGCTGGATCCTATCTGGATGCCTTTGACGCGGTCTTGGATTTTGTCACACATTTACTTCATGCTGTGGCGTCATACTAGTACTCGTTGTTAACTCTTTCGCGCTTGGACCATTGTCAATTGTGCCTCACTGCAGTGATCAGCCCTTCGAACATCGAGCCGATCAACAATCGCGAGCTCTCTATTCTCCCGCCCATACCCTCGAAGGGGCATGTCATTGTGCAATTGAATCGCCAACATGTCCCCTCTCCGAGGCTATATCAGTTCCTACCCTCCGCGCATGCGCCAGTATGGAAACGCGTTGCTCACACCTGTCAATCCTCCGTCTCAGACCGGCCCGACTCCGCGCACGACAAAGCGAGGAACTACAGCCATCAATTATGCAGAAGATGGCTTTGATGACGAGGATTTTGATGAGAACGATGGGCCCCGACGGCCGACGGGACTGAGGAGTCTTCGGCGTGAAGAATCCGCTACCGACAAGTTGGTGCCCTACTCAGAAAAGCTGGGAAAAGAAGTGCATGCGCCCGTGGAGGTGCAAGGCCTCTTTCGCGAGTGGATGATCAAGAGAATGTTGCGACCAGCGTATGTTCCCCATTGCCAGGACTGATGTGGCTATTAACGACAGTGGCCTCTGTCTTCTCCGTTTATCCTTAAATCTGGCTAACATACAGCGTGGTGATTCTAGGTGTGCCGATCAACTGCAGATTCAAGCGCAACTCCCCTTGACACTCGTTCCCATCCGAATTGACGTCGAAGTCCCCGCTCATCAACCCCTCGAACCATTCCCTTTCCCACGCACTGCCGTGGACCCTAGCATCAACCAAACGCTTCCTGCATACCGCAGACCCGAACCATTACCCCCGTTCCGAATTAAGGATACCTTCCTATGGAACCTCCATGAGTCACTCTCAACGCCTGAAGAATTTGCTATTGGATTTGTTCGCGATCTTGATCTCCCAAATCCTCAAGCCACGACCATGACCATCAGCAACCAGATCCGACAACAGTTGGAGGAATACGCTGGTGTCGCTCTCCACCCCCTCTTCCAGAGCACAGATGCAGGCACGGTGCCCAGCGTCCCGCCACAGATTGAACCGTCAAGAGACACGCCAACGACGCCAGCTGCTGCCAACTTTGCGACACCTGATAACCGGCCCGACGTGACAACAATTGTAACCGTGACCAAGGAAGCGCTGGTAAATGACAGCCTTTTGAATCCGGATGACGCATATCGGTGCTTGATCACCCTCAACATCAACCTGCAAAATAAGCTGTACACAGACAAATTCGAGTGGTCTCTACTACACCCACCTGGCATGGCTGAAGAGTTTGCGCGCATCACTTGCGCAGATCTCAGCCTTGGTGGTGAATGGGTCAGTGCGATTGCGCATGCCATCTACGAAGCAGTCCTGAAATTCAAAAAGGAAGTCTGCGAAAGTGGCGCTCTTGTCAGCGGCATCAATGGCTACGGCAACGAAATTGAGAATCTGGCAGCAAATGGCGTGGAGGCAGGTTGGCGTTACGACCCTGAAACAATCTGTGATGGGTGGCAGCCTCAAGTGGAGACACTGTCCAAGGAAGAAATTGAACGAAGAGAGGGTGACCGTGAGCGTCAGATCCGACGTCTGCGCCGAGAAACGGCCAGGTTCTCTTCGACCACGGGCATCACCCCTGAGATCTCAAGGCAGAACAGTGGCAACTACTTTGAGGTAGATAGTGAGACTCCGCTCGGACGTGGAGAAAGGAATAAGCGCAAGCGACGGTTCCGCAGCTTAAGCCCTACGGGCAGAAGTGGCACTCCTGGAGGCCGGGGAACTCCTGATACCGGATCAGGGGCTGGATACGGTGGCGGTGGTGGCACGCTTTCCGAATGGTATGTATAGCTGTTAGATACGTCTCGCTGGAATATTCACTAATGATTTCTGCAGGGAACGCCAAAGCTGGAGATGCAAGAACTGTGCGGTCTGGGGCACAGCAGTTTGGGCTGTGCGCGATGGTCCAGATGGCCCACGGGTAAGTGTTCACTCTAGAATGGATTGCGATCAGTTTCTAACTAAAATTTTCAGACACTCTGCCATAACTGTGGCCTGCTTTACGAGCGGGATAAGGTTGCACCAGAATGGTCTAAGGATCTTCATCGTCACGACGTTCCCGTCGGCCGATATGGCTAAAACGGCATATTTCTTTACATCACCTTAATGTACTATCTTAAGCTTCAATGACCTACTTCACGCCACCTATCTCTCCGTTTCCTTCTCAACCAATTAATCCGCTACTGTTGCACCTTTCTTTCTCCGATCTTGGCGCCACGGCGCATCACCTTTTGTTCAGGCATCTGCTTTCACTTTCCATCCGCAAAATCCGGGGGCGTTAATTATCATTGTGAATCATCATTTCTCTCAATCAACGTCTTTCTTGTCTACGACGGATGTATTTTCTTTCCCTGGGCGACTAGAAGGCAACGAGCTGCCAGAAACTAGAGTAGACATTCAATGAGATTAGATAATGACGCACCTATCCCTCTTTCATTCTTGTCCCATGCTGATATTCCCAAGACGGACACTTTGTGCTTTCCTTTAACAGATTCAAAGGCTCGAATGCGAGGCCCGAATAGTCTACCACGTCCTCTCCAATGTCCCAAGACACTACAACCAATTCTTTGTGGACTTGTGGACTCTAATTGCAGGAAATGACAGCAAAACACCCCCTGGCCATGGATATCGAACCAAAATGATACTCAAGCCGGCGAATGAAAGATACGAGATTGAGCGTACTGATCTGAAGGATAATAAGAAACAAAAATGGCTTGTCGCTTTGTTGAAGCACTACAGTAAACCTGGTAATATGTACAAAGAACAGTGTAGACACTTAGATTATAGGGATCATATCCTATATACTTCATTCTGACTTGCAATTTTGATCTGGGTGGAGACCTCCAGACCTCAACAACTTCTTGATGTTGATATCTCTTGTATGTTGTATTTAGGTAGGCACCAGACGTGTCATCCATAAAAGAAGAAGAGAAAGAGGGAAAGTCGGGGGCGAGGGGGGTTTATATCTCCAACATTCGCGCCTTCCTTGAATTGAGGATTCCATAATTTCCTACTTTGTTTGACTTAACACCTGAACTGACGAGCCTCAAAACCTCCACGCGACCGCCGCCAAGGCCCGTTCTATACGCACCGTCCCGTCACCTGGGGAGTCAGTCGCACCACGGTCCACTGCCTAGGCACTCTGGACAAATCAACACTCAAGGAAATGCAGGATCCGGTCAAAGCCCTCGGGTTCCTTGACCCAATGGCCATCACCCTCTGCCCCGGTGAACTCCTGCCAGTCGACGCGTACCATAATTCTCCGCAGAACTTGACATGCTTGCCGTCCAAGTTCCACAGAAACCCAGGGGTCGTCTGATCCATGGCTTAAAAGCACTGGCGTAGATAAAATAGAACAGTCGACGGGTTGATCAGAGCGCGATATCCTACCGGCAATTTCATCAAAGAAGAACCCAGATATTAGACTCTGTGCCCGAGAACTATCAGGACTAAGGGAAGGTTTGGATAGCAACTGCTCTAGCGGCTGCGCGAATGGCAACCAACCACAGAAGCCTAGCAGACCACCTAATGGGCCTTGGATTCGGCCCATCGCAGTTGCAGCCAAGAACGTCCATAAGGCAGTTGCCATTCCCTGACTCATACCCCCGAGATAGATGTAGGAAAATCGTCCATCTAGCAGTCGAGCTTCCTCCTCGAGAATATCGAGAATGTGTAAAATTGACTCTCTTATTCCGTCTTTCTGCAGTTCCTGTCGTTCGTGGATATCGTTTAAGGAGTAGGCGTCAAACCAGGCGCACATCTCCTCTTCGAACGTAGTGCTCCATCGGTCGCGTGAGGTTGGGAATACCCAGCGATAGGAGGGTAGACAGGAAGGCAGGTTTTTATCCTTGGACGTTGAAGATGAGAAAAGCTCTTCGGCGAACTCGGGGCCATCGCTGCCGCGACCATGTAGTAGGATAACGGTGTGGGTGTGGGGGCCTTGGGGATGATGGATGTGGGGTTTAGGGAACTCCATTCTTCCGATCTATATCTTTTTGATATAGATGTCAGATAATTTCGGGATTTTACTTTGGTTGGGCGTCCTAAGAGTGAGCGGTCAGTGGTCAACGGAGCACGCTTCTAAACAACCTGCATATTCTCTACAATATAATTCAAGGTGCTCCGCGCACTATGTACATAGTGGCCGGAGGTTCGAAGGAACTGCCTTGTTTATTCAGCTATAAATAGGTCTAACCTATAACCTTTCCCGTGACCGATTATGGGCTTCACCCGGGTGAAGCCCTAAGCCCAAGGCAGAATTGCTGGAGCAAAGCACGGAGTTGACCAACCAGCGTCAGGTAATGCAACTCTGTCCACAATATGTGTTTCATAAGGAGCAAGAGACGCAGTCAGTGTACTAATAGCTGAGCCATAATATTTCCAGTGCGTCGATCTAAGCCCCGTTTTGGTTTTGGAGTAAATATGATGCCTAATCCTCCAGGGCTGTGCGATTAAATTACATGTATTAACATGTCAGCAACTGTAGTAGGTGCCTAAGGCTAAAAAATCTCAGATTAGTTTAGTCGTCTCATTGTCGGACCTGAGCCAATGCAAGGCTTGAACAACTAAAACCAACGCGGATATGACCAACCAGCGTCAGCTAGGGTAGTCCTGTGGCGATTTCGAGTTTGAGTGTTTGGTACTTTTGCGGCCCAAAGATGGAATAGCTGAGCCATGATCTTCGTTCCGCATGTTGTAGGCCTGAGCGGTATCAAGATGGTCGAGAGAAAAGTCAAAACGAAAACGTTGACGAAGGCGGGGGTTTAATTCAGGAGCCAATATCCCATTTGATCACCGATAGCTATGTGTGATTATTCGTACTCAGGTGTATGTCCCAAATTTTAGATAAAATCAAAACGAACTGCATATGATTGTGTTTCGTGACTGGTGTCATATGTGCTTAAAGCCAAAAATAGAACTCGCTATGTCATCATTCAATGAGCAAAAGAAATCACGGAATACACGATAATGTGTTCCATTCTGGATGTGCCGGCTTTCCACTAAGTTTGAAGGAAGTAGTAAACCGCCGCTCTTGAGCTATAGTTAAGTCGAGGATTCGAGGTGGAAAAGGTCCTGCGGGTCTTTAGCCTATAGGTTCTCGATTAATTAGATAATATAGTTCTTACCAGCAATGACTGTATTCTGTCAGATGCAGTGCTATCTGATTTTTGGAATCCGCCCCTTGTTAGTTGCTGTTTTTTTCGTTGTCGTGACAAGACATTACTCTGCATATTGTTAGATAACACTCGGACAGTACACTGTTGTCAACTGACCTCCTCAACGGTGCCTTCCATAATGTACCGAACAATGGTCACATTCGAGACTTGACCAAGTCGAAGGGCTCGGCCAATTGCTTGAGCTTCAATTGATGGGTTCCACTGTGGCTCAAGAAGGTAGATACGTGATGAAGTTGTAAGATTCAGACTATCTCTGTTATAAGTGAGAAGTCTTGAAATTTTAGAATGGTTAACTTACCCAACAGCACCCGTCCCAAGTGTCATTAGGAGAACGTTTGTTTCCATTTGATTTTGATATTTTTGTAATTCTTGCAGGCGTTTTGACAAAGAAAGAGATCCTTCTATCATGCTGTATTTGATTCCCTTGCTGGAGAAAAGCTCAGCAACAATCAAGAGAGTCTTTTTCCAACTTGAGAAGACAACACTAGGAGATAAATCCGGTGGTTAGTTCAAACAAGAAAGAGAGGGGTGTGTTTCTTGGGAAGAAATACCATTTCCGATGACGATTTTGGGAAATCTCAGATAGAAGAGCCAGAAGTTTTGTCGGATATTGTTTCATCAGAGGCGTTGCTCTAATTTCAATCAGCGTGTGATGATTTTTTGATTTCTCGAGCAAAGAAATTGGAACACCAGACTGTGGATGATCAGAGTCCCAACAAGGACATTTATTCTGTCGAGAGCGATGGTCAGGTATGCAACTGTGACAAACCAAATGACGGCAGCCGGAGAGAAATATGCCTCCATCTGTATCAGGTGTGTCGCTGAGCCAGAAGATTGTGCTGGAGCAATAGCTGCAAACATTCTTATCCAGCTGTTCCAGGTAGGAGAGGGCTTCATCCGAGTCTACTGGGATACCAGCCGCGGCTTTCCCATTGTTGCAGAAGAGGCGTAATGAGAGAAGAGACTCCAGGACTGTAGAGTTAACCTTCCCATTTCGTCTTCCACTGACCGTCATATCAATCTTTGTCATGCATTCATGAAGTAGGTCTCTATACTGCGTTTTCTCCACGAGTGACATCGGAAGCTTCCGGGTTTCTGTAGTAGGCTCTGGTAGATTTAACACATCTCTTGTCCTTCGAATACAGATGGCGTGCACAAGTGTTTGTAGATTATGGAAACGATCTCTCTTGCCTGAGGATATGGGGGTCGAGATGAACTTGCGAAACGCCGGGACGCGATCAAGAATCGGAACCCTGAGAAAGGCGACCAGCGCCCCCAAGTCATCAATTGAGTTTTGAATGGGCGTTCCAGTAAGACACCAGCGGTGCTGGGCTGATAGATTGACAACGGCTTGGAACTGCTTGGTAGCGCGATTGCGGATGTAATGAGCTGGCTGGGATCAGTTTCTACCAATAACACATAGTTCGAGATGACTTTTGACTACCTTCATCGAGTACGATTCTGAACCAGTCGATTTTTGATAAAGTATTTTGTCCTCGGCAGTATTCACTGGTAAGTGTTGCATAAGTAGTGAAAACGATAGCGCTTTTCTGTAGCAACTCCCTTTCTGCGTGTCTTTCCGATCCGATATGTTTGTGGAAAGATAGACTGCCGGGGAATGTGTGCCTATATCCGAGTCAGTATATTTATACGCGAAGCTTTTATAGAAACTTGAACTTGCCTGCGGATCTCGTTGACCCAGTTATCAATCAACACTTGTTGGAGCGGTTATTGGATACTATAAAATATGCACTCTAATAGGTTGGGAGCAAGACTCACGCGTTGATGGAACCACTATAAGTGTCGCCTGAGTTGGGCTTTTCTTCTTGGAAAGGTCAGATTGCTCCGGTCGTCCTGCAAATCTCTCTGCTACATCGAGAGAACCAGCGATGATTGACAGTGTTACCAGGGACTTCCCCAGTCCCATCTCATCAGCCAGGATTCCACCGCTGGCTTCTTGCGGCTTTGCGCGCCTCTCGCCATTGAAAAAATGCTGGTAACTGTAGCGAGTATTAATACCGAATTCAAAGAATAAGTACGGAGGTGTGTATCACAATGGCTCATCTTCATCCGTATCGTTATAGTTCCAAAGACTGTGTTCCAATATTTGCCCATTCTCACGTTGGGAAATAAACCCGATTGCCTCTTTTTGATGTCTGATCCAAACTGTCAACCTATGGCGCTTGATGACTAGTAAACATATCTTACTTACTGTAAGAGGCTGCTCTTAATACGACGGTCGACAGGAAAGTTGGCTTGAAATATATGTTGCAGTTGAACACCAAACATGTCATCCACGTCAATTTCATCACCATCACTAGAGAGGCTTTCATCGCTCGATGAGTGAATTGAATGTATTTCTTCCGCGTCAGATAGAGTATAATCATGGACTGTGTCGTCATTCGGTTGTCCCTCAAATCGTAGGACATGCGGATTCATGTATCTCCTCTCGTTAAGCTCATAGCGAAGCGGCTGTAAGAAGATATGAGACTTGCTCAATTTAGCTCCCACATCGTCCGCGTCATCTAAGGAGGCGTAAACGTTGATTTCAATTGGTAGTAGCCTTTTACTCTTCGTTTCCTGCATTGCTAATATCGCATCTCCCCTAGCAATATATGCCTGTAGCCGAGTCTGTTGATTTCTGATCGCTTTTGAAAGACCAGTGCATAGCTCCTTATTGAGACGAGCGACTTTTTTTTCTTCATGCACAAGAACGAAAAAATCTCCCTCCCGAACAATTGAACAAGATAGAAAAGATGCGCTGTGGTCGGCCAAAAGACGATTCAATGCACCATCACCATCCGACTTGGCCGTGACACCAATGATCTATATTAAGTTAGCTATATCTCCCGTTCAGAGACCAATTAACTGACAGCTCCCAAGCATATTTCCTCAACACAAACCCCCATTTCTGGGATGGTTGTTTCCCAAGAGGGCCAGCCATCAGATGGCCAATTTTGTCCCAGAGTGTCCTGTGGAATAGACATTATCGCCTGTGATATCGCTGAATGTGCAAGAAAGAAAAATCGAGAACGAAAGGGCCGTGGAAAAAGTAAAGATCAAGTGATTGCCAGGGTGCCGAGCTGTTGCCCGGGTGGGAAGAAGGAAGAGGGGGCTGCAGAGCCGCACGCGACATGAGCGCAATGGAGAGCCCAACTTTCCAACTTTCCAACCCCCAACCTCCCTTTGCTTCCAGACAATGGCCAACACATATACATCACTGTTTGAGCGATCACTTGAAGCCTTCAAAAAGGATCTCAACAAAAAGGAGCGAGATAACTTCAAAATCTCCACGTTGGAAGATCTGGAGCAATGTCTCACGCAGTTGCAGGTAAAGCACCGGTCTCAGCGCCGTGTACAGAATCTGAATCGACTGAAGCCATTCCTCGAAGCACTGAATCAATTCGGTAAGGTGGTGGAGGTATTTTGCAATAGCAGTGAGATTGTGCCATTTATTTGGGTAAGAGACCTGGTAACATTCCAGCTCATGTCTTACTGAAGCTGACCTTCATAGGGACCGGTCAAGTTCCTGCTCTTGGTACGATATTGGCTCTTTCACACATAATATGGTAACTTTATGAAAGTTCTAACTGGATTCAGATCGCAGACTCTTTCGAAAGTGCCCTTTCCGAGTTGCTGGACACATACGAATATATAGGAGAGAACTTGCCCTTGCTGTTGCAATATCAAGAGCTGTTTCGAACCAACCCCCATATGATCAAGGTACTGTCGCTCATGTACGAGGACATTCTCAAATTCCACCGCCTTGCCATCCAATATTTTCAGCAGCGTCGTCAGTCGAATCCATATTCCCATGTCTACAGAATGAATGACTGAGTTTATTATAGTGTGGAAGCAGCTATGGCACGCAACGTGGAAAACCCAAAAATCACGCTTCTCCAATATAATTTCAGGCATGGCACGGCATCGTGCTTTAATCGAAAGTCAAGCAGGCCTGTCCCAGATTGAAGACTTCCAGGAATCCCGCCGTGTAATGGACGGTCGGCACAATGTCGAAGTGCAAGACGAAGCCTCGCGCCGATCACGTACAGTGTTCAACTGGCTCAAAGCACCTGATGTTGATGGAAATCAGTATAATCTGACTCAAACGCGAGCAGGTCATCCTGGTACCGGAAGATGGCTTTTGGAAAACCAAGCTTTCAAAGATTGGTTCGATCCCAATTACCCCAAAATTCCTCCTTTACTTTGGCTGAATGGGATTCCAGGTGCCGGTATGGGTCCTCCATGTCTGATTGGCAAGTCTATATGCTGAAAATGGAATAGGAAAAACTGTCCTCGCATCTCTCGCAATCGAGGAAACTCGGAAGCTCACACCCAAGCCAACGGTTCTCTTCTTCTATTGCAAACATGGTGACCCTGAGCGTAACAACTTTTTAGCATTGGCCCGAAGTCTGCTTGCCCAAATTTTGGAGCAGGACCAAAATCTGCTTCTCTACTTCTACCAGCAATGCTGCAATAGCAAAGATGCGGTGCTTACGTCCCCGGAGAAAGTGACCACGCTTTTAACATTTGCCTTGAAGAACTGCAAGAGTGCATATATCATCATTGACGGGCTCGATGAATGCGAAAGAGATCAACGGAAAGACATCGCTCAATGGTTCAGGACATTAGTCGAGACTCTGCCTATTGCTGAGCCCTGGAGGCTGCGCTGTCTTTTCACAAGCCAAAATGACAGCCTATCACGGAAAGACTTTGATGAGATTGCCAGTCTTACTATAAGAACCGATGATATCAAAAATGACCTTCAAGGCTTTTGCCGGCGCGAGGCAGACCAACTGAGGGCATCTTTGTACATCTCAGAAGACATGGCTGATAGTATCGCTGCGAGAGTAGCTCAGCAAGCTGGGGGTATGTGAGAAATTTTGATTTGTGAGACCTGGCTTGCTAATGACTTACTAGGCATGTTTTTACTAGCAAAATTGATTTGGCTGAATTTATCCGCACAGACTACTATCGTAGGGTTGGAACAAGAGCTGGATCCAAACATTTTCCCCACTGAGGTAAATGACGCGTAAGTCCGAGACTCGTATGCTCCCTTCTTGCTCTTACTTATAGCTTGATAGGTATCGACGGATACTCTCCAGAATTAAACAAAATACGTCACGGACATCAATGAAAGATGCCTTAGCGCTACTTGAATGGCTAGTATTGGCAAGAAAGCCCCTCAGGTGGTGCGAAATTCAGGTCTTGAAGTCTATGGATTTTGATCAACAATCAATCGATTTCCACAGGCAAGGGTTTCTGGTAAAAGACCCAAGGGACATCTGTGGGTCATTCGTTGAAGTACGGGATGACGGAAGCGTCGAGCTGATACATTTAACGGCCAGATTGTACGTCCTTATCTATATTTTTTTGAAAGCTTTACTGACAGTGTTCTCGATTGCAGGTTTTTGGTTGACCAAGGTCTTGTTGACCCATTGAGAGGAGACATTAGGATGGCAGCTCGATGCGTCAACTATTTGAACTTTCCGCTCTTCGTGAACGCACCGCTGGAGCATAATATTCGTCGTGGCGACTATGGATTTATGGAATATTCCGTTATCCACTGGGTCAGGCATCTTGAAGGAGCAATTGCCGAAGCAAATCGACGCATCGAAAGAACAAAGGCAGAGGCAACCAGACCTCGCCAAAGTACGCCTGAAGAACCAAATGGACCCAACAACTTCATCGCCCTGCGTGAAGAAGACTACTACGCGATTATGGCCCCACTCACTGAGTCGTTGGGTGTTTTCATCGATCTGCATTGGTCTCCGCCTAAAAAATACCTTGAAGTCTCGACACGAAATAAAAAAAGGCTCCAAGTCTTTCAAGACGTCGGCTTCTATGCGCGGCTGGAGCAGATTGTTGTCTCAACCAAGAAGCAGCTTCACTCATTTGGTCCCCTTAAGCAAGAAGAACTTGCATTGAACCTATTCAGCATTGTGGGTGATGTCCGCAAAATAATAGAAAGGATAGTATCAACAGATCCTTCGTCTGAAAAGGAAATGGTACAGAAATATGGGGACCACCTCTTCCGATGCCCCCGTTTTAGCTGTCAATTCTTCTCCTCCGGATTTCCCTCCTCCGTGGAGCGAGAAAAACATACTAGCAGGCATACCCGAGCATGGAGGTGCAGTGACGAAAAATGTACTGGTTTTTCATTTGGCTTTATTTCAGAGGTCAGTCTGAAAAGGCACATGAAAGATTCCCATCCGGGTGTATTGCAGAGCCAAGATTTTCCATCCGACAGAGACATTGAATTAAGCCTTCGGCTAAGGACACCCCAGATACATGCTACTACCCAGCGAGCACCCGAGGTTCGGAGTGCACAAGCTGTGCCAGCCACACCTGATGTTCCAGCCCACACACAAGAGCCACCAAGCTCAGACTCCGAGCCAGAGGTCCGTCCCATGAAACGTCCAAAGACTCAAGAGAAGCAAGACTTTAAGTGTCCACATTGTGCAAAGGACTTCAAAAGGCTCTTTAATCTCAAGTCTCACCTTTTGACCCACACGGCGGATCGTCCCTTTTCGTGTGATGTCTGCTACAAGCGCTTTTCCAGAAAAAGTGATTGCATTCGACATGCAAAGACCCATTCGGGAGAGAAAGTCTGGGTCTGTGAAGGTTGTCTGGTGCCATTTGCCCGTGCAGACATGCTCAATAATCACCATCGTGCGCCAATAGGTCAAGCCTGTCTTACCAAAATTCAAAGCCAGAGCCAAGATCATCTTCTTTGAATGCGGTACACATATGGAATGGGTGCTGTTGTAGTAGGCCCTGGTAGGTTTGACACGTTTCGTATCCTTCGGATGCAGGCCGCGTGGAGAAGCATTTGAAGGTTAAAGAGAGATCTACTTTGAAAGGGCAGCTTGACAGAGGAGTGAAACACAACGCTTATTTATGAGCATTCTACTATAATTTCACACTGCTTGTTTCTTGGCCAAGATCCAGTTAAATGCGACGTTCCGCGAAACTCCTTTTTCTTCTTCACAATCGACGACAACCTCATCAATCTCCATCTCAAAGCCAATATCCGCGAGAAGTCTTCTCATTTCATTTCTACCCCATCCACTCCAATGCATTGCCCCTTTTGTGCCACCCAACCAAGATTGATCCGAAGAGCTCGCAAATCCAGTCTCGGGAAAATTGGCAAGAAGCCGTCCTCCAGGTTTCAACCAATCGAAAATGCGACGAAGCATCGTGGTTTGTTCCTCGCGTGGCAGATGAAAAATGGAATACATGGCCACCACAGCATCGAAATGCTCCGGACTGAATTTCAATTCCATCATGTCTCCTGGTATCAAGTGTACGGACTGAGGAAGCCGCTCCTTTGCCATGGCAATTTGAGTGTCGGATATATCATTTGCGGTGACGTTGATGTATTCACGCGATGCCAAAAGTTGAGTACACGGTACCCCGGCGCCGCATCCTAGCTCAAGGATGCTTTGGCTGTTTCCCTTTGCAGAATCAAGGGATCGAAGCATGCGATCGAGATAGGAAAGTCGTATTTCATGAGAAGGTTGTGTCCAGTCAAGGTAGACTTCGGCAATGTCATCATAGGCTTTCTTTATATCGTCCTTGATTTGATGGTTATTGATGGACTCGGACATTATGGCAGAATAGGTCTTGATTTATAGTGAGGTGAATCGTGGATCTTTTTAGAAAGAACAAATATGAAGGGATGTTCTCAGCTATAAGAGCTTTAATCAACAATGACTCATTCGGCCAAAAACAATATACTAACTCAGAATACGACTAATGGTAACCCGATGAGGATTAGTGTAGTTACCGAAGAGGGGAAGAGAGTGATCGGCACAGAACTGGCCAGTTAGTTACTACTAGAGCCGCACCTACGAAATCAGTTACTGTCAAATTTATAGAAGTGGTGTGTATGTACACTAGATTCAATGATCGAGATTGGAGATCTGGGGACTCGAGTGCAATTTGAAATGTATTACTATGCTGCCTTTCGACTGTATAAAAATGAATACATGTATCCTCAACACCTAAAACGGGTTACTTTCTCGGGAAAGGCCATTTCCAGTTCCGAATATGTTCAGGATCAATTCCGTTATCGAAAGCCTCGGACTTGCCCGCGAGCTGCTCATTGATCAGCTCTTCTCTCACGCCGGCTGCCGTGTTCCCAAGGGATTGGACCAAATCGATGGCAGCTATAGCGAGACTGTATCGATCGGTCTCATTGCGCAAAGCCAGCTCAAACGGCGTGTCGATGTTGCCCTTCTCCTTGTAACCTCTCACATGCAGGTTGTGTTGACCGGGTCGCTTGTACGTGAGTCGGTGGATGAGCCAGGGGTAGGAATGGAAGTTGAATACGATGGGCGTGTCGGTGGTGAAAATGGACTTCCACTTCTTATCGGACATTCCGTGGGGATGGTGGATGGCGGAAATCAGTCGGAATAGATCCACTACGTTCACAAAACGGACTTTGAGCTGTGGAAGATGTTCGCGTAGTAGCGCGGTCGCGGCTAGGGCTTCGTGTGTAGAAACATCACCACAGGATGCCATCACGACATCTGGCTCTGCACCTTGATCATTGCTTGCCCAGTCCCAGATTCCGAGACCCTTGGTACAGTGCTGGATGGCTTCGTCCACGTTCAGGAACTGGATGTGCTCTTGTTTATCGGCGACGATCACATTCACGTAGTTGGCACTGCGGAGACAGTGGTCCATCACAGATAGGAGTGTGTTGCCATCGGGCGGGAGATAGATGCGAACCACCTCGGGGCTCTTGTTAGCCACCACATCGAGGAATCCGGGGTCCTGGTGGGTGAAGCCATTGTGATCTTGTCGCCAGACAGTGGCGGTGATGAGGATGTTGAGAGACGCGATCCGGGCTCTCCACTCTACTTCGAGGCACTTCTCGATCCACTTGCAATGCTGGTTCACCATAGAATCAATGACGTGGATGAAAGGCTCATAGCTGTTGAGCAGTCCGTGCCGCCCAGAAAGAATGTAGCCTTCCAGCCATCCTTCACAGGTATGTTCACTGAGGATCTCCATCACGCGGCCATCGGGGGCCAGATTTCCTCCATCTTTATCTTCTCCGAAATAATCGCCCATCCAGACCTTCTTGCCTGCTTTGTACACCTCGGAGAGCTTGTTAGACTCAGTCTCATCGGGCCCAAAGAGCCGGAAGTTGTGCATGTTCTTCGCGACAATATCACGAAGGAATTTCGCCATGTTGGCCATGCCACCCTTGCTTGTGATCCCAGGAACAATATCCGTGAACCCATACTCTCGGAAATCGGGCATATGGAGCGGGCGGCGTAGAAGACCTCCATTACCAACGGGGTTGGCACTGATCCGGGAGTTACCCGTGGGCGTGAGCTCCTTCAGTTCCTGAATCAAGGTGCCATTCTTGTCGAAGAGCTCTTCTGGTTTGTAGCCCTTCATCCATGTTTCCAACACCTTAAGATGAGCGGGGTTGGTGCGGACATCAGTGAGAGGAATTTGATGCGCGCGCCAGAATCCTTCAAGAAGGTGGTCATCAACCTCCCGTGGAGCCGACCATCCCTTGGGTGTGCGAAGAACGATCATTGGCCAGCGAGGTCGGAATGGGGTCTTTGTCTCTCGAGCTTTCTTTTGGTGCTCCTTGATCTCTGTGACACATTGCTCGAGGGTAGCTGCCATGGCCTGATGCATGCTGTCGAAATCACTTCCTTCCACAAAGTATGGCTTCCATCCATAGCCAACAAGCAAAGCGGAAAGTTCATCGTGGCTGATTCGTGCAAGCACCGTCGGGTTGTTGATCTTGTAACCATTGAGATGGAGAACAGGCAGGACTGCGCCATCGGTGATCGGGTTCAGGAACTTCGTGCTGTGCCAGCTGGTTGCAAGTGGGCCGGTCTCAGCCTCACCGTCTCCAACCATGGTCAAGGTAATGAGATTTGGGTTGTCGAATACCGAGCCAAAGGCATGCGAGATTGAATATCCAAGCTCACCACCCTCGTGGATACTGCCGGGTGTCTCGGGGGTCGCATGGCTTCCAATACCACCGGGGAAAGAGAACTGTTTGAAGAACTTCTTCATGCCCTCCGTATCCTCGGCTTTATCCGGGTAGACTTCCGAGTAGACACCCTCAAGGTACGATTGGGATAGGATTCCCGGGGCGCCATGTCCGGGGCCGGAAACGAAAAGAATATCGAGGTCGTACTTCTTGATGAGACGGTTCATGTGCATCCAGGTGAAAGACTGCCCGGCATCGGAACCCCAATGACCTAAGAGTCGAGCTTTGAGATGCTCCACCTTAAGAGGTTCTTCGAGGAGTGGGTTTTCGCGAAGGTAAAGCATGCCCAAACATAGGTACATGCTGGCTCGAAAGTAGGCATTCAGCTTACGGACTGTCTCGGCGTCAAGGGGCTGCCCTTCCACAGTTGAACGAGCCTCTCCATAGGCGGAGATGCTCTTTTCAGCTGACTTGGATGACATGCTGTGTAATGTACCCCGTTGAAGCGGAGCTGCACAATATGTAAACAGAATCCCTCAGTGTGATGACACCTGGGATCCGAAAAAGATAGAAGGGTATGCACTAGAATTGTAAATATTGAGATATAATGAACCCAAGAAAGAACAAGATCGCAGGTTAAGAGTATATTTTCTTAATAAATAGGAGAATAATTCTAGGCATGTCTGACAAGTCAATGACGTGTGGTTTCTGATAACAACCCTGGAAACAACCCTGAAACGGACATCTTACCACCACCTAAGCAGGATTCTACGGTGTCGTGTGCATCATGATCCAGAACCATACCCATTTGTCAATGATTAATATCCATGACTCCTAAATCAGGTAGATGGACGCTCGGAGGTCCACGGGCTTGTATAACCTTGAAATGTCTTGGCATTGACACCTAAGGCCAACAAGTTAGAGACAAACTGGACCGTTAATATCCATATGTTCGTGGTATTCCAGACAGCCGCCGGAAAGAATATGGTCGGATATTGTATAGTGGTCGAAAGTGGTGCTCGAAAATTGACGCCAACGTAGTCTCCTAGGTGTCGCGAGGCCAAATGGCCCGTCTTCGTCAAGCACGTAAAAAGGAGCTCAGAGGACCGAATCGATAAAATGAGCAAAGTCCATAACCTGATGACGCTCATGGGAGAAAATATCTTCGAATGATGAGCATGAAAGAGGAAGGGAGGGAGACAGAGAGGGCCTGACAAACAGGGAGAGGCAGCTCTGGGGGCCTCAGGCACACATCTCAACAAACGATTTTTCTGTGCATATAGATGTAAAAGAACGCGTTCATCGTGTTGAGAAGACAAGATGGGATCAGAACATTCAATTTTGCAGATAAATAATATCGCGTGCTGATGATTGTAAACCTATTCGGATCCAGTTTATGAAATACATGGAACTCGACCGCATACGTCTGACTAGGTTGCGATTTTCGAACACCAAAATATGTATCTCAAATATCTTATCTTCTCTCGTCGCCAGGGAGTTCCCTTACTTCCCTCGAAGCCAACTCTTGGGCGCATATTTTTGAATCGGGCTCTATGACATTCTGGGCTGCGAGTGCCGTGCATTTCCCTCAGCTGGTAACTCGACTTTGTCATAGCCACCTTCATTATTCACATCCACTGCAACCTTGGCACTTTGACCTCGTTTGCGTCTCTTCAGCACAAAAATGGCAAATATAACAAGAGTAACACCAGCTACAGACCCAACGACAGGGCCCGCGATCCATGCTCTATCTTCTGATTGCGGATTTTTGTCGACAGGAGTCACAGCTGGCGAGGCTAAATGTGTCGTTGCTGAATGTGTCGTTGTCGCCGATACACTTGTCACACGTACAGCAGTCGAAATCGGTGTATTTCCTTCTGTCGCTGTCATTCTGGTTAGATGCCCATATTTGCTGATAACCGAGATAGCGGAAACCATTTCTTTGTGACTGGTGGGGAAGATAGATTGACAGAAATCCATAACATGTATGGCTTCTTCTGCGTCTTTGGTATTGCTACTGATGGCTCAGCTACATACATCCGGGTGAACTAAGTGATGAAAGTTCCCAACCCCAAATTGCGGATTGGGCTATCTTCGCGTGCTCTGGTTGGTCATCTACGCTAGACTTCGATCATTCTAACTCTTCGTTGGGCCAAAATTCAAGTGTAATTTGATCGCACAGGTTTAGGCAATATACCGCCCTACAGCCTTGTTAGCGGAATCATCAAACTCATTATCTCTAGTATGTCGAGGTAGCTTCATTAACTAGAGCATCTTTGCCTCTGAGGTTCCGACCACCTCAAACTATTGACCATCCACCCGAATGCAAGCCTGATGGTAATACTTAGTTTATCAGAAGGAAGTATCTTCTTCATTGAATAATCAGTTTTGCAAAGCCTTCTTTCGGTGGCTCAGGTAAATGAACCCAACGTCACAGTCGCACAATCAAGTACGGAGCACACCCCTTCAATTCAAAAAGTCTCCACCTGTCTCTTTCAAAATCAATTGGTACTCGGGAGCGAATTGCATATACATGACCTCAGGAGTACCTGTTCCTTTCTTGGTGTAGAGTGCAACTTCGTCATCCACCAAGGTCTTCTTCAAAACTCCTTCGCTTGCACCAGTCGACCCAGATGCCGTCGCAGATTCCACTAGAATCTGAGTCTGACATGCCCTCTCCAATGCGATAAAAAAGGCCGCCGCTTCCGCAACTGTGTCACCGGCAGTAAGCAAGCCATGATTCTGCATTATCAAGCATTTGTTTTTGGGGCCAAGGTAATCAGCAATACGCTGTCCATCTCCCTGTGCGAAAACAACTCCTCCAAAAGCTGGATATACCGAAAGATCGTCGTAAAACATGCATGAGTCTTGAATTTTGGAATGGCGTCAGCAAAAACACGGGTCCACGGGTGTTGATCATGTGGTTTACCTTGATTCAACATATCAATTCCCCTACCAAAAGTGCTCCAGGCTCTTCCAAAGGGACTGTGCATATGACATGCCGCATGGATATCAGGTCGCCTCTGATGGATTGCTGAATGAATAATAAATCCAGCCGTGTTGATTGGCTTATTTGCGCCAGCGACCCTATTTCCTTGTTCGTCTACCCGGACCATATCAGAGACTTTGAGAAGGGCGAAGTGTACTCCATATGGGTTGATCCAGAACGTGCGCGGTTCGACGGGGTCTTTGGAGTGTCAGAACATCAAGACAAACAACCGCTATTGTCGAAGTATAGGAAATCCAAACAAACATACCTCGGACACTTATATGGCCACTGCTACCATCTGAGAATCCCAGTTTGGCGAATATGCGAAACGCGCCCGCCATCTGCTCGAGAAGCCATTGTCGCTCTTCTTCTTTGTTGGTGGGTCTTGGAATGTGATGCAGCCTGTTTACTTTGCCATTGTCGCTTGTTTCTGTGTTTAGGGCAGAAACAGTCGGCTTCTGTTCAACAATAGTTATAGATGATGCCATTTTAAGCACGTTGTGGCTTGGATGGATAAGGGTTGCGGTGGTTTGACGAGGCTACAAATACCCGAGGCAGATAAATGATAACCCCGCAGAAGAGTTGACTGCCATTGGTATTGATTATAACGTTTCAAATATACAAGCTATCAAAAGATGATGCTGATATACACTATGTCTCTATAAGTATGTCGTCCTACTCGTAGGACACAGAAGTCTATACCACTGCTATCATTTTACCTATTTAGATCGAATCTCTAGAGCTAGTACGTCTCGCTTCTGATGTCTTTGATTTCAGAATAGCAGAGAATATGGCATTGTATATCTTATAGAGGTTAAGCCTCGCATAGCATCTATCGTTATGTACTAAGAGTCACTGAATCGTATAACTAAATTTAACCGTCCAAAACCTACGGGTGACTAAATGTGCCACCTGGACATAACTCTCTTATTGGCTGCCTGACCAGAAGCTATCGTCACCTTCTCGGAGTATATATGCCATTTCCATTTGTTTTTGTATACTGGTACCTAAGAAGTTGAGGCCCGAGAAGCCAAGGAAGGGTAGGTTGCCAAGGTAGGCGAGAGTATATACTCTACTTTAACACTGTGAACTATGTAGGCTTAATACTACTTCTTATCTGGTCCTTTTACTGGTCCTTTTACTGGTCCTTTTACTGGTCCTTTTACTGGTCCTTTTACTAGTCTTTTATACTACGCTTTTGTGGCTTCTTTCTAAAAAGGAATAAAAAACTACGTAGTTTATAGTATGGAATTAACATAGAGTATACATATGGTAAACAAGTTAATAGAATTTTGGCTGGGGACTTTATTTACTCCTAACCCTAGAAAGTGAGAGTGAACTAAATTACTGCCTGGCAATATAATCCAATGAAAGTGTTGTGTCCAGGTGGCACACTTAGTCGCGCGTACAAAATCAAAGAGAAAAGACACACAGTGCAAGAGTAGGCCAAAGAAACGAAAGAGAGACCAAAGCCCAGAGATCCGCTGTCAAACTGGACAGCAGAAGATAAAGATGAAATGTACAAGAACAGGCAGAACTGCACATCTTTGGGCAAATTAGATCAAACTTTCGCCTGTTGCGAGAGTTGGGTCCAGATGACGAAATTCTATAAGAGGATGAAGCCTTCCAGTCCGGAAGGGCGTGGCCAATTCCGCTGCCGTCGCGGTAGGAAGAGTCCTCTGACCATGTGGTATCACGGGGTTATAGTTAAGAATCCAAAGACGCATTGACTGATCAGGAGAAGTTCCAGTGTAAAACTTCTGTCGCAGCCATGACCCACTTAAACGGTCATCGCCGCCCTTTTTGTCTTCTTCTTTGAGGGGGTTGCACCTGAATCTCCATTCGAGCCATTTTGCTTGCGTTTTCCTACAGCCTGCTTAGGTGCCGCTCTACTGTTCGATTTTGTGGCCCCGGGGGCATTCGCTTTGGGGGGCATTCTGTGACAGAGAAGTCAGTCACGACCAATATGGTGATTTCTCTATGTAAGAAAATCAAATATTGGGCATAAATGAATGAATATGAAGGAATCTACCCCAGAGGTATTTGTATATTAAGCATTTTGTATAGACCAGACCCATCGCATAGATGGAGCGCTCGACTACGCGATGTCAAAGAACATGAAGGTCGTAGACAAGACAAAACAAAGATGGCAGAACACACTGTTGGATAAAGGTCAATTTTCTTTGATCATGCCGTTCATTCAGCATAGCTTTTGAAAAGTCCTGTTGGGTATATTCGTGGAAGGGGTACTGTACTCAACCAATTTGGCAATGGCCCTCAATACCACACTGTACAATACTCTGACATATAAATACCCACGTTTCAGTCTCCGAAACCGGGGCCGAAAACAAGTCTGACTCGAGCTTTCCGACTCTTCCTGACAATTTCATGTAATACAAAATCTTCCTTTCACGAAATTTTTGGATCTCTGGGGACTAGTCAGGCTGTTTCACAAGAGCATCAAGATGGGCGAACTCAAGCCGACCGCAGTCCCGCTCCCCAATTCCGAGCAGTTCTACTTGAATAGCGAGCAGGGTGAAAGATACTTGATTCAAGTATCTTGGCCGCTACATTGGCACAGTGACAGCACTTCTTCGTCCGGTTCATTTCCCATAATGTAAGTGCCCGCTAGCGATTTCCCAGGGTTGGAGAAGAAGAAAAAAAGCGCCCGTTACGAACTGTTATTAGATATATTGTCGATGGGAATGCCCTATTCTTGACTGCAACCGAGATCGCCTGGCGTCGCGCACCTGCGTCACATTTCGCCGGCGGGGGCATCATTGTAGCCATCGGATACCCATTGAGCGCAAAGCTTTATGATATGCGGCGACGCACCCTGGATTTGTCTCCACCAACCGAAACTCGAATTCCTGGACATGGAGGCGCCGATGTATTCCTTGACTTTATTCAAAGTGCAGTACGACCCGCGGTCAAAGCCCGATTTCCACGGGTCTCTGTCTCCAGAGAAGCACTCTACGGCCATTCTTATGGGGGGCTGCTTGTACTACACGCGTTATTTACACGCCCGAAGTCATTTGATTGTTATATGGCCAGCAGTCCCTCAATCTGGTGGAATAACGAATTCATTCTGCAGGAAGCGACGGCCTTTCTGAAAAGTGAGCCTTCAAGCGAGAAATCGCCCTCGCTCATGGTCTTCTGGGGCTCAGTCGAGCAAAATCCTCATCAGTGGGACAATGAACCTCTTGAAAAATATGAATTAAGAAAGCGAATGGCCTCGGATTTCAGAATGGCTGACAATGCTCTCAATCTCTGCGGGATGCTACGGGGCTGCAAACTGTTGCATACTGTCCTAGCGCATGAGTTCGATGGAGAGGAACACACAAGTGTGATGCCGTGTTCGACAAATCGGAGCTTGACGATGTTCTTTGAAGATTGGCCTTTGTATTAGTCATGGGGGGGCACCATGAATTGAAAATGAAATCTACGTGTGGGTGGGAAGATGATTGATAAAACAAGGTGAACGTATTTGCGGGAATATGTTTCCCGGATTGTTACCGTTTTGCCGCATCGGTCAAAGTCAAAAAGGGTTTCCGTCTTGGGATTTGGGGGCCATTCGGAGGTTGAGGGTCTGTCCACAAAAATACGAAAAGGTTCGGGCTGGGCTTAGGTTGGGCTCTGGGTCCGGATTGCGCCCCAGTAAGCTTGTGGATTAAAAGCCTGGCTTTTGGTTGACGTTCTTTCTGCTCTTGGTTCCTTAAATATATAACAGGGCGCCTGATTGTCCATTGAAATATGATTTGGCTTAAAATTATGAGTTTCTTTGAGCTTTCGCTGTCGTGCACATAAGTAAGATTTTGTTCGTGAGGAAAAGGAAAAAAGGATCGGTATGAGTAGCCCCAACTTAGAACACCCAAAGAGGTTAGCATCGGAGATTGGCATTTGCCGCTAACCTTAACTAATCTAATCTGATCTCCATACTGATACGGTACGGCACACTCAATTCCACAGGCTTTTGAATAAATTACAAGCAAAAAGTTCGCATGGGCAATTTTGTTTACATATCCGATCTATGTTGGGTTGAATGATATCCTCAACTTCAAAAGACGCAGCTTGACGATAGTATGTAATATGTCGCTAGTAGCAATGTTCAGTCAGGCCATTCTCAGCTACATTCAAATTTGTCTATGAACTCTCACTGTGGCTTGCCCCAAGGTCTGACCTCGTCAATTCCGATATCGGAATTTTTAGCGATAAGTTTTCCCTCGACCAAAATGCAGTTCGTCTATTTGGCTCCATGGAAAAACCGTAGCACTGGCCACGTTTTGAAGTCACCAAATCCTCAAAATCTTCCTTGGGAAGGAGCTAACTGCAAGTCATCCCACATGCGGCATCTCTTTAATGAGCATAAATTATTCCTATGGTGACGCCCGCACTACCCTCTATCTCATCTCATTATCGGATGTCCAGCTCGGAGGTTTTAGGGGATTCTGGCTTGGGGCCAAGGTAACTCTATCCGTTTTGTCCTAAAGTCGCTTGGCAACTGCGAGACTAGCACTCAACACTTCGGTCATATTTTTAATTTCGAGGAACAGCAAGATAAACCGGAGAAATTGCACCAAACAGCCCCGATACCATGTTTCCTTGACCTGGGTCGACTGAGTGGGAAAGAAAAAGGATCCAGCATAGAAGAAAAGAGCCAAGCTATGAATTCTCATATGTGGCTTGGTGAGGATCGCCCTACATACTATCCATACTTTGCTCTAGCGTCAGACGCCAGGCGTAATTATGTCTTGTTTGGTAACCCTTTGTTTTGTGTAACAACCCTTTTGGTATCCCGTCGCCGGCAGCTGATGGTCCGGTTTTCTCTCTTTTTTTCTTCTGTGCTTCTTACATTCTAACGTAAAGGAGTTAGAGCGTCCAACTCAGGATGCGATATTTAATGTCCACTTTCCGCACATTTTAAATCGGTTGCTCCATATGCAGCGGGTGATTTCTTTGCCCGCAGAAGAAATATGGCTATTATGAGCAGATTCCATCGGATAGTCGGCAATAAGTCTGCAGAGACTAAAATTACCCCAGTCGATGACCCCAATGTTCTGCAGGCAAGAGCCGACGACAAGGAAGCTGGGCATGCTCCCATCGATGAAGTGACTGGCAAGGAGGAAGACAGACCTTCCAAAGATGCCCAAGCTGGTGTACAGAAAATTGAGGCTGTTACTCTGGCCTGGGGGAAAGGATCGATGCTCATGGTTCTGATATTGTTTGTGTCCCTGTCCTCGTTGCATTATTTGATCCTAGCAGATCAGCTAGCTCACATCGTCCCTTTCCAACAGTATCTGGCTTCTTACACTGGTGAATAATCTCAAGACTTCCGTGGTCTACAGCCTAAGCGCCTATGCAACAAGCTCTTTCGCGGGTCATTCGCTTTTGACTGTCATCGGTATCGTGGCATCTTCAATGACAGGCGCGGTGTATATTCCTATGGCGAAGGCGCTGGACCTCTGGGGTCGTGCGGAAGGTATCCTTCTGATGACTGGGTTTTGTATTCTGGGAATAGTCATGTTGGCTGCATCCCATAACCTCGCCACCTACTGCGCTGGACAGGTAAGATGGCAAATAATGGTCACGCCTTTATTCCTGGAATTATCTGACACCTTATCAACGGCAGGTATTCTACTCGGTCGGATTCGGCGGTCTCGCCTACAGTTGGAATGTTCTCGCAACTGATGTGACAAACTTGAGAAACCGAGGGTTAGCATTTGCTTTTACCTCGTCTCCAGCAATCATTTCAGCGTTCGCTGGTTCTAAAGCCGCTGAAGGATTTCTCGCTAATGTCAATTGGCGATGGGGCTACGGAGTCTGGGCTATTATCTTGCCGGCTTTCGCTTTGCCGATATATTTCATGTTGGCCTACAATTTACGCAGGGCCGAGAAGGACGGTATTCTCGTCAGGGAAAGAAAGGCCTGGAATTTCAACCTCGAAACAATTTGGTGGTTTATTAAAGAGTTTGATTGTGAGTCACCATATCGGAGGTTTGCAGCTGTCATTGCAAATTATTAATTCTCTGCTGAACAAATAGTAATGGGTGTCTTCCTATTCGCTGGCGGCATGGTGGTATTCCTTCTGCCATTCACTCTGGCCGGTATGGCACCCCATGGTTGGCAGACCGGCTATATCATTGCCATGATTGTGATTGGGCTGGTTCTACTCATCTCATTTGGCTTTTATGAGACTTACCTGGCCCCAGTGCCGTTCCTGAATTATAAGTTCCTCACCGATAGGACCGTTTTAGGCGCATGTCTCCTAGATATGACATACCAGATATCTTACTATTGTTATGCCGTCTATCTCCCGTCGTTTTTGCAAGTGGTATACAACTTGGACGTGGCTACAGCTGGATACGTTGGAAACACTTTTAGTGTGGTGGCATTTGTCTTCTTGTTCTTCGCTGGCTGGCTCATCCGTGTGACGGGGCGATTCAAGTGGATTCTCTGGGTCTGTGTACCGCTCTATATCTTTGGACTCGGCCTGATGATTTACTTCCGTCAACCTGGTGGATACATCGGATATATTGTCATGTGCGAGGTATTATTCTCCGCCGCTGGCAGCATTTTTATCCTGTGTGTGCAGCTCGCCGTCCTTGCTTCGGTCGATCACCAACACGTTGCCGCGGTGCTTGCCTTGCTTTTCGTGATGGGAAGTATTGGTGGATCTATTGGCAGTGCTATATGTGGAGCTATTTGGACAAACACATTCTTAAAAAAGCTTTCGGAGACTCTACCAGAATCAGCTATGCCCAATTTGTCTCTCATTTACTCGAGTCTTCCCCAGCAGCTTAGCTATCCAGTTGGAAGCCCGGAGCGAGATGCCATTGTGAAAGCCTACGGCTATGCCCAACCGAGGATGCTTGCAGCCGGTACTGCATTCATGGTTTTGGGCTTCATTTGGGTTGGCATGATGAAAAACCTGAACGTCAAGAATATGACACAGACAAAGGGTAACGTTTTTTAACGGGAAAGACTCGTTTCAAAAATGAGTAACAAGTGACAAGCGTTTATTCGACTGATGCCATATTGGGACCTAGCTCTATGCTGGACCCCGATGCGCCTCCCCAGTTCATCGCTGTATTTTAATAATATCTAGAACAGCATCCTCAATGACTGATATTGCTGCTTCCAGCATTTGTCTGTGATATAGTAATAACATATATGTTCTTGATCATCGGTTGGAAACTTCCCATATAGTTAGGTTGGATAAATAAAGCATAACCAGAAAAGAGTCAGGAATTTGGATGCTCAGCATTTTGACCTTCAACATGCAAAGAACATAAAATGGAGGGAAGGGCTGAGTGGCACAGAGATATGCAACTCACCCAAACTATGCAAACTATGCAAACATTCCAAACCACAAATATCCCCTTTTATCCACGTTACTGAGAGAGAGTATCTGCAGAAATAGTAGATGCTCTGGTAAAAACCATGTATTGCGTAGAGAGGAGAAAAGAAGAGACTATCTACAGCAAATAAAGACTAAAGTGGTGGGAGCAAACATACAGAGTCACCTGACTCTCTAACAGTTACCCGTGGACAGCTTGCACGATGTCGCGATCAAGCGCTTTACCGGGGAGGAGAGCGAATCTGAACGTCACTCGACTTATAATCTGCACTCACCTACCCATGCTAATGATCAGTTGATTGGAATGACACGTCCAACACCTGGCCTTGGCGCTCCTATGATCCACATGAATCCTTGCATCTTTGCTAGGACCGAGCGAGCGGTAAATCAACGAATCTCATTCGCCAACTTTACAACGCTAAAAACATGAGACAGCGGGCAGGGATTGTTGATCGGTTCTGTGGGGAGTGGAATCGAACTAATGCTTACTAGATCTAGTGGCGGCTCCTGGGTTCCCTCAAGTCGTTTGTAGAGAGGGGAGATGGCGGTTAGACGCCCACTACTAGACCCCTTAACCTAATAATAATAACTTGCCTTTCCCATTGTAGCGAGATGGTGCCTTCGATTTTATCTCCGCCGCTATGGTATTTCCCACATATTGAACGATCATCCCGTCGATAAACTTACCCTTCTAATCTCCAGTGTGCATTGCCTGTGTGCCCCAAAACAGGCGATCAACCCGCCCAGTCGCAGTCAAGTCTGCCCATATGGATGGAATCGAAGTTGTTTCAGATTTACGGAGGAGCGCAATCAGCTATGGTGGGCTTGAACTCGTTTCCGATCTCAAGAGATGGCCCAAAAGCTATGATGGACTTGAAGTTGTCGTTGAACAGGGAAAGGAAGTCAAAATAACTCGTGGCGGATTATATTACGTGTCTGGCCCAGAAAGGCCGGGGTCCAGCATACCTGAAGACGGTCTAGCAAAGGCTGATGGCCCAAAAGATACCAAAAGAGTATGCGGAGTGAGGCCCAGTGTGTTCTGGCTGTTATTAGTGATCGCAGTCTTGATCGTGGTGGTCGTTGCCGTGGGTGGTGGGGTTGGAGGATCGTACTTGGCAAGCAGAGACAAAGGGTATGTTTTACTCTTCTTCTTGCGGAGCTGGTATTCATCTAACACATGTCACAGCAGCTCCGACCCAAGAATGTCCGGGTCAAATACTAGTTCCGCAATGTCTATCGTGACTAGAACATCTGACGGCGGCTCCTTTCCAACAACGCTCCAGCACAAGGCCGATTCTTCGATGTCTATCACGCCCAGCATCTCTGATAGTGGCTCCTCTTCAACAATATCCGACCCCAATGAAGATTCTACGATGTCGATAACAACCACAGCATCCTCCCACTCAGAGACTTCCACCGTAACCAAGGCCTCCAAAACATCATCGGCGGCTGTTACTTCAGGCACTTCAGGCATAGCTTCCAATCCATGCCCGGGTCAAAATCTCACCACACTTACTGGCTCCGATGGATCGATATTTACATTATTATGTGCTGTGGACTGGCCGGGTGGTATTAAAACAGCATATGGGAACGGAAAGGTTGGTGACTTGACGAGGTCGACTGAATATACCCTGAAGTCCTGCATCTCACAATGTGTGCAATGGAATACGGAAAATGACGAGAAATGTAAGGGTGTCACCTACCTTGCAAATTTGACAGCTGCATATGGTGGTGGACAGGACGGGAATTGCTTTTTGAAGAATAGTGTTGGTAAATATTATCCTAATTCGGATACCTCCATGGCTGCCGGGATATTGGGAGGCTGAGGCATATACTTGATGTTGTCGACATGTATGATATTGAATTTAAGCAACAATTTAAATGGATACCCTTTAGTGCCAGTTCCATTCCTCACTAGTTGCTAGTGTAGCTTGAATTTAATGTTATCCATTGAAACTGTAAACAAAGATCTGTGAATTCCCATCTAGAGAACAATTGAATAAATTCCGGAGTCTACATACGAGATTTAGTATCTCATAAAGGCAATATTAGCGAACTTTGGTCCAGGTATCATTAGATATTGCACTTGAACTTACATGACGCGTTGTTCCTTGGGACTCATATCCCGTTAGTAAGTTGCGGCTTAACTACTCCGGAGTTGGTTCCGCATCGGTTTCTGCCACGCACTCGTCCCATCCACCCACCCACATGTAACCCCTGGAAGAACCTGCGCATAACAGATTCAACAAATCATGGCGCCCGAAATTTTTACCAGATTGTTCAAAACGAAGCGCAAGAATGACCCGTACTCCAGACCCAAATGTGGTTCACCAAATGCAATCGGAATCTCTGATTCCACCTGCGAAGTTAACGGCGACCCCTTTAATGGATGGAAACTACCAGTCCCACCACCAGAACAACGCGTTCTCAAACTCGGCACCCGACAAAGCAACCGTCAACAAGCAAGTCACTTCTTCCAGCTCCCAATAGAAGTCAGGACACTGATCTATATCGAGCTAATGGGTAATCGGCGCGTACATATCGAGCATGCGTGGATGTTGCCGTCGCCATTTCGTCCTAGACCAAAGCGGGACAGGGAGCGCTGGGAATGGTGGCATGGTGTTTGCCAGAAGAGTGCATCTTATGTTGATGACCGGTGTTGGAACCGTAGGAATGAGACGTTAGCGAACAAGTCCGAGGGATTGAAGAGTCCTCCGGCCGGGACGAAACTTGGGGGCGTAGAATGGTTAAGGTGTTGTCAGATCGGGTGAGTCTCAAGACCTTTTGGTGGGTGTACTGCGAGCATGGCTTATATTATTTTCCAGCTATGAAGAGGCATTAACAGTCCTATACGGGACAAATGTCTTTGTTCTACGGACCGGGTTAGACACTCCGTTTATCATGTCCAGGCTTTTATCGCCTGCCTGCTCCTCTCTCATCACGTCTATGGAAGTCTCTTTTGATAACTGGTACAAATTAGACGAAACACCACAGGCCGCAGTTTGGGAAACGGCCTACCCGGCCTTCTTTGATCTATTTGAGCATTGCTTCTGCAAAGTTCACAAGTTGCGCTTGACGATGCATATGCCGGCCTGGGAGAAAGTGAGAGGGACCATAAACGATGACAAGATAGACGCGATTCTTTTGCCGTGGGAGAGACTTGCACAGAGTCGCAACTGGATTGGTTTAAAGCTCTGTGTACCGTCTGATTGGCTCCCTTGCTTAGCAGGCAGGGCGGAGAAGCAGACCAGGTGGAAGTTGGCGATGACTGACTGGTACGAGCGTGCGCCTGCTGTCGAGTATTTATAAAATAGACCTTGGCAAGATATTCACGAGTCTAGTGTTAGTGTTTATTGGCCTAACTTGGAGGTACTAGCGTAGTCTATAGGGAAGCTCAGATATAAAAACTAGTATATAGAGTTTCTATTACAAGAAGCAATAACGTCAAGATTGACTTAGGGCGTTCGTAGGGGGGTAAAAAGCGATAATATGAGAAGAAAGACGTAGCATCTTATAGGCTAGGCAAAAAGGGAGGATACCTAAAGTTGCATATGTACCGGATAATGACTGGCACTCAAAACCTTTCCCTTTCCGTTTTAGTGCTCACCTCTTGCCACTTTTCGATCACTGAGTAAAACTGAGCACGCCCCTGAGTATTCTGACTTGATCACGTGCCATTACATAATCAACCTCACAGCACCAGAATTTATTTAGTGCTGCGGGGCCGGGACCAAAAATCGGCTGGTGCTGCGGGACTTGTCAAGGCCTACTAGAGACTTCTAGAGTAGCTATTAATAAGAATAATAACTATAATCTTAATACTACTTATATATCCTAAAACTAGCTATTAGAAGAGTTTATAAAACTAGATAATAATAAGATTATATAATATCTTATTCGTAGAATTAAGCGATAGAAACATCGAGAGACGAAGCAGCACATCTCTATGTATTATTCGCTCTCGTACGCTGTATCCTCCTTTGAGCCAAGAATGGATAGTGCTTCACAAATGTTCTTTGACGAGCTTGATCGCCGGTTTGTGCCCACCGGAGCACAGTTCGATGTGACGCAGTGGATGAAATCTCTATCCTACGATACAATGGGCTTGATGACATTCTCCCGGCCATATGGCTACGTTCAGCATGGGAGAGACTTACACGGCATCATGGACGACGTGAACAGGGCAAACCTGATTATCGGACCCGTAAGTTATACATGACGAAGGACTTTGACAGAGAGCAAGACTCAACTATTTGCAGATGACGCAGATACCATGGCTCGATTGGCTCTTGCATAAGAACTGGGTAGCAAATCTTTTCAAACGCGAAGCCATTGCCCTCTGCTGGACTACGTCTTGGCGAGTATTTCAGAGCGTCAGGAAAAACATCGGAAAAGTCCCAAATCGCCCTCCAATGCAAACGTCGACGGACCCATTGCCGACTGTGACTTCCTCGGGTATTACCACAATGCCCAGGAGAGAAAGGATAATGTGCCACTTCGATTTGTGTCAACCTGGACTTTTGACAATATTCTTGGAGGGGCCGACTCCACGGCTTCCATGCTTCGATCTGTGGTCACCCTGACGCACTGGAAACGGTACGGGCCGAGCTGCGAGATAAGCAACGCACTGCCACCGGGCTCACTCTACCTTTCCCGCAATGGCATGAGCTGCAGAACCTCCCCTTCCTCGACGCCTGCATTAAAGAGTCACTCCGGCTTGACGCTCCATTTGCTATGCCTCTTGAACGAGTAGTTCCGGCGGAGGGAGCCACAATCTGTGGTCACTTTTACCCTGGAGGCACCGTGGTTGGCATGAGTCCATATATTACTAACCGCTATAAGCCGACATGGAGTTTTGATGCGGATCAGTGGCGTCCCAGTCGCTTGTTGGAAGGCGAACCGTCGCATACCAGAAAGCTTGAAGCCAGTCTGCTTAGTGTAAGTCACGTTTGGCCGACTTGCCGGGTACGTTCAATGTCTGATTGTACTAGTTCGGGGCCGGGACGCGAGGTTGTCTGGGCCAGCACGTCGCCCTTTTTGAAATCCATACTACTGGGTCGTATACCCAGAGAGCGTGCAGGCCACGGTCAGAAAACTTGAGTTCAAACAGTAGGTAGGACATGTCCCAGAGAAGAGCTACAAACACTGCATATCGTCAGATTTATCGAGACGCTCCTTCCCTGTCAACCGCAATTTACCCGGAAGACTTTCTCCATTGGCTGATTCCTAGAATCGCCATTAGAAAAGACAAGACCAGATCTTAAATGCGCAGAATAGTAGACTTTGTAAACCACCAACATTCTTCAAAATGCCAGCCCCAGAACCACCAAAGTCTATTGTCGAGTTCTTGCACGAAGTTTTTTTGGCCCCCAGTTGGAAGGCCAGGACATTACAAGCAGTTTTTTGTTTGGTCTTCTTGTTCTGTTGCAACATGACAATGACTATTGCAGAAATCGCCCGGGCTTGGGCTTTCAGGTAAAGTACACGGAAAGCCTATGTGCGCTGTCACACTGGGGATGGCTGTTTCAAGCTTCATGTGCATAATTACTGATTGATTGTCCATAGGTGGCTTGGCCCGCGCCCCCCCCCCCCCCCCCCCCCCCCCAGCCCGACCAGTACCAGAGTGCTCCGACATCGTTGTCGTGGCCGACATACCCCCAGTGCCACCCATCCGCCCTCCGGACGCCGTCCGGAACGAACCTCAGGCGTCTGCATCTACCTCTGGCCACCTCCGACATCGCCTCCGGCGCATTAACGAGCTGCCAGCCTTAACTCTCGGCCACTCTGTAACCTGCGGCTGCGAAGATTGCCGCAATCGCCGGTTTAACCGGATGACTCCGATGGAGGAAGGCTGGCCTGAATTGTAAGTAAGGAGTACACTTAAGCATTAACATGAAACAGATATAAAAGCCATTTACTTGCATTTTATAAAACATACATACCAAGGTCTGAACACGGCGAAATCCTCTATCTGAAATTGCCTGGCAATGGAAACGACTAATATTGGAATCTAGAGTTCGATGAGCCGTCAATGCCGAAAGTCAAGTTTTTTCAGTGTTTCTTTACTTTTCTTTCACTTTTTCATTCACTTTTTTATTACTTTTTATACTTTTTATTCACCTTTCTCTTACTTTTATTTTGACTTCTATAGTCTTTCTTTCATTCTTACCCTTACTTGTACATAGCGTTAAGTCCACTAGTCCAGGTTACCTTTGTACCATAGTGAGACCAATTGTGATAAGAGTCACATAAACCACTGTTAACCGTACTGGTAAACACTTTATATTTTGGGGATTGATAGTAGCTACCCGTTTATGTTATAGAGCAATATTCGGTCTAGTAAAGTATACAACCCTCGAGGAAGTAAAACCGTGGTGTAGCCGTAATCCGGACTAGAGGATGTCCTGCTATGTAGGCATCTCACTACCTAGGTAGGGTTCGTCTTTGACGATGTTGGATAATGTCACGTTTTGCTTAGTTCCCGTAGCATGGCAGTGCCCTCTCTCCTTTCATGAAGGAGAAAGAAAAGACATCAGTATTCACATCATGCGTTCTGATGTGTCTGTTTGCCGCCACTTCTGATAGATAGATAGGTTCGTTATTACGTGTGTGTCACTCAAATTTCTGTCTTAGAGAGTTGCAGAAACCTATGTATGTTCTGCTCATCACTGGCTTCAATTTTATATACCCGTCATCCTGACGATTGCTCTCATGATAATACTAGCCCACGGCCGGTTCCTTTCTTAGGCCCGGCGATTTGACTTTTAGCCGATATCCCTGGAAATGTCTCCACTGCAATTAGGACTCAACAGGTAATCTGTTCGATTTCACATCAACCTCCAATCCGGAGGTCCTTTAGCAGACCCAACATCCTAACATCCTTGAGTAAAACGATATTTCAAGATGCGCTACTACATGTGGGGTGACAAATCCGACGAAGAGCTTGATCTAGAAAGCTCTGGAGATATATGTCTTCTTCAAAGATACCGATACGCTACCTTCACCGACGAAGATAATCCATCCATGTGCCCCATTAACCTAAGGGGGCTATTGCAGACAGAAGTTGCACTTCGGGAGAATACTCAACGTGAGATAGCCTTGAAAGAGAAAATAGGGCATCTCTCTAAGGAAGACACATACGTGACTGTTCTTCAGGACTTACAGGAGGAATTGTCGACACTTTCGACGGAATATTGGACCTTAGAACGACGTTGGTGGGAGATTAGGTCTTCGTATGACGACGGCCCGCTGACCAGAGGTATCGATTTCTGGCGCTCACAGCCAAAATGGTACATGCATCAAGTACTTGTGGAAGATTGCATAGGGAGAGGAGGCTGTTGTGGCAGAGACTGTGGATGCTGTTCTCATCGCCAGTCAGAACGGAAATTTGCAGTTGGTCATTGTACCGTGGAATGTTCTTGTTGCGAGAGAGCCCGGGGGTTTGCACTCGACCCTGAGCAGAAATCCCAAATCCGGGAGTCCTTCAAACTTGATTACAAATCTATCCGTGCATGGTATTACAATCGAATAAAGACCGCTTCTCTGCTAGGGTTGATGGCCGGTAGTTACGAAAACCCTTTGGATCTCATCGTTGACTTGCCGCCAAGATATGCAACTCCCTCTGAGGAATCACAAGGGAGCAACTGGAAGAACTATTTGCGGAGATCTTCACGCTAACGTTGTCCGAGAGGAAGAGCCGGTCAGCTGCTTCAGAAAGTCATACTTGCTGTTACTGTTCCCAGTTTTGTGTCGCTGTTATACTAGAAGGACGAGCTGTCCATGGATATAGTGGAGAAAGAAGGAGAAAGTGGGAGTAGGAGGTTGAAGAGATATATACCTGTCATCATTGCTCTACCTAGCTAGCTTTGCTTGCAGTGGAAAGTATAGCCACCCAATTCGATTCGACACCTCCATCGCTGCCGTAGGTGTCTCTCGCGTAGTTCCAAGGCCACATGGAGCTTACTTGAGTTCATCTCCCGTTGTTCCTCGCCCCAAAATGCCTTGGTCCCATGAGCTTGCGCAGTGAGGCCGCCATTGCGGCTGAGTCTGGATTATTCAATGAGCAGAAGCAGACAGTCTAAATGGGGGTTCGATCTCGGCGTCTTCATCATATGAGTAGTCACAGCCAAGTCACAGCCAAGTCACAGCCAACGCGAGCGGTGCTAGACCCAGCCAGAACACGAGATAGCCCTCGCCAACGCACTTTCGTTGTGCCGAGTCCTTCTTTTCCCACGCTCGTCTTGGCTAACTGGAGTGTGTCCAGGATTGACCGCGGCTTTGTCAGGAATGAAATGTAACGGGTTTGCGCAGGTGGCCAAAGGGCGTCCGAATCCGGGGCAGATAGCCAACGATTGAGACCATGACTACAGCCTAAAAGAAGAAGAACGCTATAAAGAGGAAGCCTGGAGACTAAAGACCAGATCATCAATATGCCACTCCTGTTTCTTGAAAAGTCGCACACATATTCTACATCGGTGTCTGCGTACAGACCGCCGCCAACACACGTTGCAATTCTCCCACCTTCTCTAGGAGCTGCGAATTGGACCCTGCACATAGGTTCTTCTCTCCCCGCATATTCTCAGCACCCTGGACCCGTCGATCAAGACCCTAGCATACCTGATGTAAATTTTGCAATTGACACAATAACAGCTGAGCCATCATCTTCGTTTCCGTTGTGCGGGAAATATTCAATGTCCCAACGCTGAACGGAATGGTCAATAGGACGGTATACACTGAATCTCCCGTGCCATCGACCTGTGGCGAGAGCATAAGCTGATCACCTGACCCACTGTCCGAATGATTATTGGGTTCGAGTGGCGGACGCGTGGGGTTAGCGTCCTGTTGTGCCGAAGGTGCAGAAGAGAACAGGACGCCGAGACGGGTCTTTTATGTCGGCATTGAAGGTTGGTTGACAGCGTATTGGGGCGCTAAACCCAAAAAGGCAAAACTAACCCGATGTAGTGATTCACAGGTCCGCCGTTTACAGTATGAATATATCCATGTAGATACTAAGACAGACTTCTCCCCTATCCATTATCGGTTGATTGATCTCTTGGTATTCCGTGCTTGGGAGCCAAAGATGCCAGCTTTGCTTTCTCCAAGGAATTGGCTTGAAGAATTTCGACTAGACTCTGGCCTTCTACATAATGCTCATTTGTTCGTCCGGAAACACAAATTGTCGAGTCTAAACACATTCCTTGTATATGGTGTGAATGCAGACAGATATGTCGCTTCATAGAAGACAAAAGGAGATAACACCCTGAAACGGACGGAGTTCTCCGCTCTATCCTACGCCCCTTGGTCATGACGTATTTTCTTGGTGAGATATAGTGCTTAAAAAAATGAGGGCAGCAGCAATACTATCAACGAACTAACTATCACAGTATAAATGCCCCTATGTATCCTTTCTAGGTATAGTCTGCGGCGGGCTGAGTGCGTCAGTGTTGCTCACTGATTGGACACTGAGCATCACTGAGTAATCAGAGAGCATCCAATGATCACTCACTGAGCGTCAGTGATTATACACGTGACTGATCTGAGCCCGTGCTGACATCTACTCAGTGAGCCTGAGCCTGAGCACCCTCATAAAAGCGGCGGCAGCTCAAATAGGAAAGCCCCACCCGCCAGGGAAAATCCGGTACGTATAGGTACATATATTAAAGCTATAGAAAGCGATCATTTTCGGCCATTTCACAGGTTCTCGGGTTCCATATATAAAGAGCTATTTTGTTTCTTCCCGATCAGCATGTATAAAGAAACTCCAACAAATCTCATGTTGAACTTAGGTTGGCAGATATATCTAATCTGCTGCCTTGTCGAGAGGCCCGACTGGTAAATGCATCCACATTCCGAGACAACATTCAAACATTTTCGCATCAAATATAACAACTTCCTGTCCATCCATCATAATTTCCTTTCTCTCATCTACCACCCAAACGCTTCCTCGAAGTACTCAATGTCCTGGAAACCATTCTTCATGGTCTCATATACACTTCCGCGACATTCATCGGCCATTTGGGCTGGGCCACAAGTCAAAACGGCCAAATTAGTCGAGCTGTTTTGGGAATCCTGCACCTCAGACTTGACTATTTCGCGGATATCGGGGCGACCAGGCATGAACCGGAGGCTGCTGTTGCTGGTGGGAGAATCCGCGCCTGTTGCCCTGATCACCGGCGCAACGCCAGACGAAAGCTCCTTGGAGATTGTCACGTCATCGGAATCTGAATCACTCGTGATCTTAGAAAGACGAGTACAGAAGACAGTGATCGTAATGTCGTTATGCTGCATGATCTCCGCCAACTCCTCATTGAAGACCTCGTTGAACATCTCTTTTTGTCGGACGGACCACACGAGCTGAATTTTGGTGGTCTTCGTCTTGCCTTCCTTCACGCGCGCAATATGATCCAGGAGGTACGGCACTGCTACTGCAATACCCGTTCCGCCGACAATAATCAGAAGAGTGTTGTAGGCGTACACTGGCTCAGAATGACCATACGCTCCCTCAAGAAGGAGCTTGGGGCGAATGATTCCACCTGCCTTGCGGCATTGATCACGAAGGCGACGTGTCCATCCATCGTAGGGCCGGACGTAGAAGATGAGCTTTTGTCCATTTTGAGAGGCTGGAGCAGACTTTTCATTGTCGGCCGTGGAGGAAGGTGCCCATGCACCCAATGAAAATGGGTGGTTCTCCCAGCCCTTAAGCCAGGTTGCTTGGTAAATATAGTAAAGCTGACCTGGTCTGGGTGTCAAGCTTGCGGCTCCGGGGACCATTTCAATCCTGACCAAGTCGCTTGCCTCACTGTATGTAACGGTTGTAGCCGTTCCCAAAAATTCCTTTCCAAATCGGGCGTTCAGGTTGCAGTATACAACACGACCGACGCGGGCAAGTCGCTCAAGGACCCAAAGTCCAACCGGTGTCCAAAGATATCCAACCCATTCGCGACCATCGAAGCTGGTGTGTCTATGTATTGTCAGCTCGGGACTCTTTTCCTAAGAAACGGCGGTGGCTGCAGGACTTACTGGAAGAGGGCAACGACCACGACGACGGCGAAGATAATGTGAAGCATGAGGAAAGTCTCATACCAACGGCGTTGGAAGAAGGTCATTGACTGTACAAGCATGAAACACAGGAGAATGGTAGCCTAATATTGCGTTAGTTCTGGGTTTTATTATTGATCGGGCTAAGCAAACTCACCACCACACCCATGTACCAGAACTCTTCCTTCCAAGAAATCCAATAGCGACCGACTACCGTATATTGTCAGTAAGTAATGTTCTTTTATTCATTCAACGTCAATAAACTTACCATATTCTAGGAAGAGAACGGTGTAGTTGATGGAATGCACCACGGCCAAGATAGTGCAAACCCATGCGATATGGCGGTGGAACATGGTGAATGACTGAACGCTGAAGTGTGTCATCTGGATAAACACATTGTTTCTGCCACTGAAAAGCCACAAAGCTGGTAGACAGGCGTATGAAAGAACTCCAGTGCGGTCAGAGGTGTATTGCCAATTTTGTTGATAAAGGCTTGGTACTCTGTGCATAGAGTTAGTAAAATATAACTGATATATAAAAGTTTTGCTGGTAGGATGAACTGACGAAAGACTGCCCGTGAAACTGTCGTAGCCCACACAACTCAAAATGATACTGACAATCCAAAATCCAAGCACAATCAAAGTATCGACTCTCTTGGGAAGAGCGTGCGACAACCAGAGTTGCTGGTGATTGGGGATGGCTGGGGCAAAGGTGGCCGGCATGATGATGTGCGTGCGCAAAGAATGGAAGAGAGAAGCAAGAGGACCTTTCTTACTCTGCAGACCGGGGCGAGTCTCGGGGTCGCAAGAACCACGCACACTCCGTCTGCTGAAGAATACTGTCCATGCCTTGGACATCATGCCTAGGACTAGGACAGCTCCCCAGTAGCCAATAATTCCCCAGCCATATCGTTTATGCTTCGGCATAGCATAGTCATGGCTCACCTGAAGAATACGTCAGTCGTAGTTCACTAACAAAAGAATGAGATGAAATATCCATGCGTTGACTCACATAAGACTTATGGGCCCTGTTGTAGTATTTTTTGGTCAGCAGCACAGGCGAGTCAATGGTCCTATACGTTGTCACATTATTCTCCTCTGGGTCAATTTGAGGAAGCGAGTTGATGAAGTCATCCGTCAACAAGGGTTCAATTGAAGTCAGGCTCATGAGTTCCATGCTGTTCTTTGCACAAAGACTTTGCCAGTATGGGACCACCGCTTTGAACTCTTTCTCGGAACACCAGGCCTTAGCACTAGCATACATGGAAGTCACTTCCACGGTGCTGTTGCATGGTCCGGTGGAGTATGAGCCATACGAGCCACTACCATGGGCGCGCTTTGCAAGGCTCACACTTCTTCGGGCTGATCCGTGAGTGTGTGTCGAAGAGGTAGAATCAGTCGATTCAGTGGAAGAAGAATCAGATGATCCATGTGTATATCCCGAGTAGGAAGACTCAGATGTTTCGGTGGAGGAAGAGTTGTGTGATCCGTACGTGTGAGCTGCAGAAGAAGAGTCGGGGGATTCAGCGGAGGAAGATCCAGATGATCCGTGTGAATGAGTCTCAGATGTCTCAGTGGAGGAAGGATCCGAGGACTCATGCGAGGACGCCCCAGATGTTTCAGAGGAAGCATCCGATGATCCATGCGAGGAAGTCTCGGATGTTTCAGTAGAAGAATCCGACGATCCATGTGAAGAAGATGAGGAACCCCCGTGAGAATGGGAGCTTGTGGCGGATTGGACTGTTACACTGCCTTCAAAGGTGTACGCAGATAAACTGGTATATATCGAGTAAAAACAGTACTCTTCCAAGTTGGAGGCGACATTACGGCTCGAACTTGAGCTGGAGCCGCCGTGTCCAGAAACCTGAACAGTGGCCCAGAAGAGAGCCACAAAAGCCGCTCTGGGGAGCATTTTGTCGTTTTGATTATTTAGAGCAAGCGAAGAACCATGCAAGCCCGAAGATATTCGACTATACTTATATCCCACAAAGCCTGTGGCGGCGATATAATAAATAGAAAAGAATTGCAAAAAGAATTACAATAATAATAATAATTCTAATTAGAGTCTAGCCATCTAGCTGCTGATTCGAACCAAAGAGGCAATGTTTGGAGAGAACCTCGGATGTATCAAAGTCATTTGAGTAATTTGTTTACCAAGTCCACTCGGGATTGCATGGTATCTCCACATCTATAGACTCGGACGTAAACCAAGGAAAACATCACGTTATTGACTACATTAATGAACTATATTCTGAGAACGCGCAGCCGAGTCTTTTCTTGGCAGCTGGCGGAGGATGAATATAATTATGAGAGTTGATTGGCTGATGCATAGCGGTTAGCTTACTAGACAGGTGGCATAAATGGCTGGCCTAGTTCTTGCTAGGAAGGTGCCATTATTCTCCCATTATGAGCCGGGTTCATATCGAATATGGAGTTTGCATTGCGAGCATTCTTCGACGGTGCGTGGAAATCCGAGGCTTGGCAATATATCTCGGCGTTAACGTAGGGCAAGTATAAGGTTAAACTATGCCGATTCGGAAAGTTTCGGGTTATAATAGTGGATGACACTAGTTTTTCTGTATAGATTGATAACGGAAGGCTCGGACTTATCTCAACCAAGGTTGGGCGGATCTCTTTGGGATTAAAGCCCCTAAAAAAGAAACGGCTGTAATAGCCGAAGTTGACGTCCCCTGATAGCTCAAGGGAATCTCCCGGCAGATGGTTCCATGGTTGACTAGTGCGTTGTCCACATTTGGGATTCTTGACGAGCAGGCCCACTATATATGGAAGGAATAGTGTCTCGGATATTTCTATAGAGATTCATAACCCCGAAACCGTTAAATGTAGTAAACCTCCATGGGCCCACCTAAAAGAAAAATTCGGTTATAACCGACGTTAAAATATTTATGTACAAATCCAGACAACTAGGTGGGCAATTTCGGTAGATGGTTCCACGAATGTATGGGCCTGTAGAATGAATTCCAGAGAACTTTCGACCCAACCATTTACTAACTCTATGAGCTCGAAAAACTACCAAAAACGCTTTATCCCTACTATACGTATTATATGAATGTATAGAATTGCAATTATATTAAAAAATACCTTCATCAACTAGGGACTAACCTTGGAAGGCCAGGAACGAAAATCGTTTCAACACTGTGACCTTTTTCCTTTTCCCACTCCGTGGATGTCTCTTGTCCATACCCATTTCTGATCATAAAATTGGTTTTTCTTTTGGAATAAAAATAGAGCAGAAAATCCAAGTCAGATTGAAGCTCACTATCGCGGATCACTTGTAAGGGCTAAGGCTCGGGTTCGGGTATCTCGGGTCTGATAACTCTCCCCAGGCCGGGTTTATAGTGGAGTTCAAGCCAACTTTGAGAGACCAGTGGAACTGCTAAAGAGTTTTCCCTTGGGTTATTCTGTAGAGATTTCAATCTCGGCATCTTTTAGGTAATATTGTGCCATTGAGATCTCTTCGCTTCCGTTATCAATCTGTATAGAAAAACCCATGTACGTCTTCGGGGATAATAGTGGGGCTTCGCCAAATAAACCCAATTCGGGCAACAGTGCACACGATCTAAGGCTGAAGAAAATGGAAGTCACGTAGGGTCACAACCTACAGGACTAGATATCTTGATATCTACGGCATATCAAGGTCACATGGTTACATCCATGAATAGTTATACGGCAAGAAACAATCATATAGATATATGTTCAGCATAGCAAAAGATCTTAATCTCATTTTGATTAGATATCTATCAACTGTTCACAATCTTGATTCGTGTAATCAACCCAATTCATTCTCCATTTTGTAGAAAAAAACAACCAACGCTCTGTAGCCTTACCCGTTCATACAATCCCCATATCCGATCACCAGTGTTCGAAAGCCCACAGAATTAAAGAGTGTATGTTTGACTCATTTGGTGGGCTCCACCGTCTCGGTCACAACGATAGATTCATGGAACAGTGCCGAATTGACCTGTCGCACCACAGCATCATCCTTGAAGTTCATTGCTTCCAACTTCTTATTGGCAATACTCTTGAAGCCTGGAACATGCGCCATCAAGCTCCAGAAACTGTTTGCCAGGGGAGCTCGGCCGGTACGCTCTTCGTACAACATCCAGGCAATACAGGCCATGATGAAAAGCCAGTAGACGTTGTATCCAATGACAGATCCATAGGTACCGGTGTTTTGCCATCCCAGGATGGACTGGAAGATATCCCAGCCATTGTCAATCTCGGCGTTACAACAGTTGACGTGCCAGACAGTCTGGAGAATATTGTAGGAGCCGGCGCCGGAGCCCGTTTCACCAACATCACTGCCCACTCCAACCACAAACTGGTAGTACTGTAAGCTCCAGATGGCCTTGGAGAACATACCAGCCGAAATGAGGTAGAGAACGCAGGTTGAAGCAATGAGGAAGATCTGGATCGACATGACATTTCCTCCGCGGTAAATCAACCAACCGGCGAGCAATCCGGCCATGATTCCAGTGATGACAGGCAGAGGGAAGGCAGTTGCAGGGTATCCAAGGGACACACCACCAACGAATACCACAGCTTCAACACCCTCACGCATTGTTGTGATGAAGGGCAAAATGAACATGGCATAGCGGCGACCCCAGTCACTGCGCATCCACCGTGACTTTCCTTCCTTCTTTTCGACCAGAGACTTCGCAATCTTGACGCGCCACTTCTCTCTGGTCTTGTTGATTCGTAGAAGAGCAAGGCCCATGATGGTGATCATGATCTTGTAGATGAATTAGCTTCATTCTTTGGTATGAGTTCAAGTATCAATCAAACTTACCGTGGCAATCAGATAAAAGATACCTTCCCACAACTCCTCCGAGTCTGCCCAAGCATCGTGGCCCAATCCGTAAAAGAGGCCAATGAAGATGGCTCCGATACATAGACAACATATCACACCTATAATCGATCCCATCCAGACCTGCTTCCGCAGTCGTTTATAGACCGCCTGGTCCTGGCCTGGCTGACCCAAGCATTGCTTGAGGAAAGACAGAAGGACAGAGACAATGATGACTGCCTCGAGACATTCTCGAAAGACAATAAAGAACACCTGCACCGAAAAAACGTTCACCATTGTGCAACTGGGGTAAGAAGATAGTAGTAGGTGATGAGAAAAAGCGAGGAATGCTTTCTCTCATGTGCTTTTATTTTAAACAATGCCAATTCATGTCTGACAACCACGGCCGTCCGGGAAATGACCTTCTGGTTTAGGCTAGTCAATAATCTATATTCATCTGGAAATCACGGACCTTACCAGTGGACACCGGAGCTCTGTTGGAACTCATAACGTGTATTTCCTTTTTCCATCCCCCCACTCTTGTGCTATTGTTCCAGTCCCTTCGGAGATTATCAGTATAGCGCGAAAATCCCAACATTTAGGGAGTCAACGCCAAGGACGAAGGAAAAGTTGAGAAGCAACGCCGGAATTGTGAAAATGACTCACAAACGTAATAGCTCCGAATATGGAAGACGGGAGAAGTGAAGTTGAAGGTATTGAGCTCCTAGTATTCCATGATAGATCTGATAACAGCAACTGCCTTTGATATCTTCATGTGATTATATTCTTCCTTTCACCTATTCTTTCACACTTTACTTCCTATCTTCTTACACTCCAACCTTCTTCTCTGCTTTTCTACAATAGTAATCATTTACTTGCAATTTCTCTCCAAGCTTCTTCGCTTGGTAGGGTTTTCTTGGCATGGACCCTTGGCAAGGGTGTCTCGGCAATGAAAACTTTTCCCACAGCTCGGAGTTAAGGAAAAGGGTAAAAGTGGACTAAGTGGATAACCAAGTGGACCCGGTAGAATATGATCGCGTGGTTGACATTTTTATCAATCAGTTCCGAGGTCTTGGCCATAATTTGTGCCAAATTTGTGACTGTGAAAAATAGCTCCTAGTCCCTTGATCAGATTAGGAAACAAGAGCCGGGTATCAATCAGACTCCACCACGCTAATTTAGTCCAACGCCTCTTGGACATCCTAGACATGAATTTGCCAAGTCGACCCATGTCGGAGAGGTCGGGAAATTAGATTGGACAGCAAGCGGGAAAAAAAAGGCCATGGGTGAGTACAATAACTATACCTTGGCCCAGGACCCAGGACAATTCCCCGAACAACTCCTCCTTTCTCTGGACAGTTTCTGTTCTGCACTTCGAAATGCGGAATTCCATTGCTCTGTTGGGAGCTTTCCAGCTCTTGTCGGGATGCTGCCAGGCAGTGACACACACATTTGACTGGAATGTGACATGGGTGATGGCAAATCCAGATGGCCTTGCTGAACGCAAAGTCATCGGTATCAATGATCAATGGCCTCTCCCAACCGTTGATGTGAACAAAGGGGACCGTGTGGTGGTCAACATGCACAACGGTCTCGGTGACAAAACCACATCAATTCACTGGCATGGAATGTACCAGAACGGCACCAATGACATGGATGGCCCTTCTATGGTCACGCAGTGTCCAGTGGTTCCAGGGTCAAGCATGACCTACAACTTCACGGTCAATCAGAACGGCACATATTGGTATCACTGTCACACGGATTACTGCTATCCTGACGGTTACCGAGCACCCTTCATCGTTCATGACGAGGAGTCCTACTTCTACGATGACTACGATGAAGAGATGGTCCTCACAATGACTGATTGGTACCATGACATGACCGAGGACATTGGACCTGACTTCATGTCCTTGTACAACCCTACTGGAGCCGAGCCTATCCCCAACTCCTTCTTGTTCAACAATTCGGTCAGTCAGAGCTATCCTGTTGAGGCCGGCAAGACCTACCTTCTTCGACTCATCAATATCGCTACCTTTGTGGGTCAATACTTCTGGATTGAAGATCACCAAATGCGCATTGTCGAAATTGATGGTATCTATGTCGATGAGACAGAAGCAGACATTTTGTACCTCTCTGCTGCTCAGCGTTACTCTGTCTTGGTTACGATGAAAAACTCCACCGAAAAGAATTACGGCATGGTTATGGTTGCCGATTCATCTCTTCTTGATTTGATCACTCCCGATCTTTTGCTCAATCAAACGAACTGGCTCGAGTATAACCCGAGTGCCCCTCACAACGAGATCACAATGCCCGTGGAGGAATCATCGGAGCTCTATCCTTTTGACGATTTGACCCTCGTGCCACATGACCGTGTCGAGCTGTATAAGAACCCTAAGCAGACCATCGAGCTCACTCTGGTCATGGACAATCTCGACAACGGCATGGGATACGGCCTGTTGAACGACCACAGCTACACCAAGCCCAAGGTCCCCACACTCTACACCGTCATGTCGGCCGGTGACCTCGCAACCGATGCGGCCGTGTACGGCGAGTATACTCAGTCCGTCGTTCTCGAGAAAGATGATGTTGTGGAGATTATTCTCAGCAACCAAGACTCGGGTACCCACCCCTTCCACTTGCACGGTCACGCATTCCAACTCTTGGATCGATTCCCATCGTACGGCGAGAACTTCTACGATTATGATGCTGGAACCGAATTCGCCACCTTTGACCCCTCCAATCACACCGAGTTCCCCGTCTATCCTGCACGTCGTGATACTTTTGTCCTTCCTCCCGGTGGATACTATGTCATCCGCTTCCTTGCTGACAACCCCGGTGTCTGGCTCTTCCACTGCCACATTGACTGGCACATGATGCAAGGTCTTGCGATGACGTTTATCGAGGCTCCTCGTGAGCTTCAAGATAACCTCGTCATTCCTGATGATCATATCAAGGTCTGTGAAGCTGCCGGTGTGCCCTACGAGGGCAATGCCGCTGCCAACACAGAGGACTACCTCAACCTAAAAGGAGAAAACAAGCCTCCCGGATTCATCCCAGATGGATTCACTGCCCGTGGAATCGTCGCTCTTGTATTCTCGTGCATTTGCGCAATCATGGGAATGGTCGCCATTTCGATTTATGGAATGTCCGGTCTGAAGTCCCCTGTGAGAAAGCCCGGTTCAGATGATAATACTTCCACGGAAATGGAGGTCACTGAGACCTCAAGGGCGTACCGGGATTAGAAACTTAGTTGTGGAGTTTGTAATTGGCTGTGATTGGAAAGAAGTTGCTATATACAGATCTGTACTTTAATTTCGTTATGCTGGATACTTGTCTGTTCAGATTTAAGTAAAAATATCAAACAAAGAATATCCAATTGAGTTCCAGGGCACCACGTCATATCGCCATGCCTCATATGAGTTCATGATGTACTTATCATGCTTTACTCCTGAGATGGGCTACAGGGCAAGAGTTGTGGTGAGCCTTTTCCAGTCTTACCTAAACAAGGTCTACGTTCGGCCCCAAGGCTGCGGAGCAAACTGGCATGTCAACAAAATTAAGTAGTATAAACCATGTAGGACTAAGAAATTCTCCCTATGTTTTCTACGGCCATCTTGGTATATATACAACTTCATGTAGCTGGATGTTATCCTAGACATATCCATCCAACGACTCTTTAGATTGTGCTGGCTGCAGAACTGATATAATTTGCCCCTGTGCGAACCTTGACCCCAGCTCTCCACCAATCCAGCCCAGAAACATCCTGGTCATTCTGGGTTGTGGCTTTTCCATAACCTTCCTTCTGCAAGAAAGGACTATCCAGAGACTTCCATTTCAATTTAGCAGTCGGCCGCACAAAATATAACAATCCCAATCGATCGAGGTGCGCCTGGTCTTTTGGTGGCGCTATAACTCGATGAAAGCCACTTTTTAGATACCCATTTGTGAGGAACTGGAGCGTATCGGCGATGTTGACAGCGACAGATCCAGCGGGAATCTTTAAATATTCCCAATCTTCATCTTTGGCCTGTTGCACTTGAAGTGCTGCTATTGGTTGCTGGAATAGGAACGTCATAGTGCCCTTGTCCGTGTGCCCACGGAAGTAAACATCGTCAAACGTCTTGTTTTCTTCTTGGGATCGAGCATGGTATAGCATATAGCGGATAGAGCTGTCACATTCATCTTCGTAGCGGTTGCCGTCTACGAACTGGTCCTCTGGTAGCTCGAGCATAGTCGCTAATATTCGGAGGAGCTTGAAGGAGACATTCTCGTGCATGAAGCGGGAGAATCTTTCAATCTCCGCTGAGTATCTTTTGATCAGATCCGGGTGTGATCGCTCGCTTTGGGGAATGAATTTGAAGATGCTGTAAAATTCCAGCGTGTCTTGCATCCCAGGGAAAAGATTTAGTGCTCCTAAGGGACGGTAGCCATTGTAACTACCATCTTCTAAGGGAGCACGATGTCTCAGTCGTTCTTCTTCAGGTAATTCAAAAAATGCCTTTGCAATAGCAAATTGGAGATCGATATCACCCTGTGACAGGCCAATGTTGGTGATATAGAAGAAGCCTTTCTCTGTCAATATCTCTCTATTTGGGGGAGGTCGTGTGAGCAATACCAACTTGGTGCACATATTGTTTGAATTTCTGTGCCAGTCTCTCTTTTCCTCCCGGACGATCATATTCAGAAAGATCGATAGTGACAATATTCGCATATTTCACTAGCAAATGTTAGTCTTCCAACCAATCACATAATATTTCTTACTCACGCGGGTGTTTTGTCTCGGGTGGATGCTCATATTTCGGCAAATTCATATTAAATCCGATTGAACTAGGCCACCAAGGAATCCAATTGAGACTTGCTTATTCCAAATCACGACATAGGAAGAAGAAATGAATCCGACTTTGCAGCATAATCCCCAAACAATTTAAGGTCGCCACTTCGTTAGTTTCCCCATAACTAGTGGATCATCAGTTCCACTCTGGAATAGTATTGTAATCGTGTCAATGTGATCTGCCATATTACAAACATCCATGTGGAGATCTACTCCATATATAACATACACAATCTCAATTTACTTTTTATTATTGGTAGATCCCGCTGGGGAGAGCTGCAGTGACACATGAAGGGTCTCCACACCGCCAGTCTGAGTTTATCAAGGAATATCTGATCGACTTGATTGTTGATCGAGCCAATCAAACCAACGTTGATTTCAGAAAATCCACTTATGTGATTTTTGTACAGCCTAGCTTTGTGGGGTTCATCCTTCAATCCACAATGGCTTACGAAAGGCAAGGCACATCTTGCTGAAGATTTGGTCCTATGTACCCAGGTTTTAGTCAACGCTGGGGTGCTGGAATGGTCTCAAAAATATCCATATACTACGTACTAATTACCTTGCAGGGAGGTAGTATATAAAAGACTTGTTAGTAAGTCTCATCTCTAGGCCTAACCACGCACCTAGGTATCATGTGAAGGCATATATATATATATATATATATATATATATAATCTTTTTTAAAAAAGGCTAATGACAGGGGAAGTACAAGTTAAACCACAAGTTTTGAGTAGAAAACAAACACTGTCCTAAGCAGTGCAGTAAGAGGGATCAGAGTCAGGTCCCAGGAGACTAGTAGAGCATCAGAAGAGCTACATATCTTATAATATCCCCCCACACCCACGCCAAGATGGCTCTCTGGTATAATATCGGTATAGGAATAAGCTTAAATCAATCTAGGCCACTTAGCAATGATTCTCGTATCGAAACTACTCAATGGCAATTGCCCGTCCATCACCGGTTACACCTTAACTCGCTATCTTATTATTTCTTAGATCAGGTTCTCAAAGGCACTATTCCTTGGATTTCCTCAATGCACTGTGGCAATAAGTATCCAGAACTCATAATCGGACCCGAGGCACCTCTAATTTAGATGGCAGATCTAGTTCGAAAATACTAATCTGGCGGATATAAATTTGACGATACTGAGTCGACAAAGAAAGAAATCAACCTCTAGCAGCAAATTACCAGCGATCTATTCCTATATGCGGCTACAGTAGTTGGGCGGGTGCGGCCCGGTGAGAAATGGCTGGCGCCCTTACGCCGCTGAGGGGCCGGCGTACTACGCAGCAGTATAGGTGCCAGCTGCCAAACCCCCATTTCTAGTAAATATTGAGAATTTCCATTGCTAGAAGATGACCCACAATGTTAAGAAGAAACGAAGCAACTACCTTGATTGGCTCATTGCCAGAGAGACTTCACCAAGCGGTGTACCTTATAGAGGAACAAATGGGTGAATTCCGAAAGATGATGATGTTGAATGTGAGGCGAAGAGGTGAGATACGACCACAACTACAAGAGGCAAGGCTTTCTTTATACATATGCAACCCGTGACTTCTCCATAGGCTCCGGGGTAGCCAAATTGTACCTATCTCCATATATTTCCGGTATTTAGCGCATCTTCAGCTAGAGAAGCGAGAGCGGCAGTCATACAAGGTCGATACTTCCGCACATTGACTGTTCCCTGGATGCGGTAATGGATAAATCAAACTGACTTCGAAAGATTTCAACTGCCTTTCTCCCTATCATGCTCGTGGCCGTATTTTCACCTTATCCTAAATACGAGTGAAATCGGGCCTGTCACTATTGATTTCTATTGTGCAAGAAAAAAAACTGGACCTGAACAGACAGGACCCAGGTGAAAGCAACAATGGCTTCCATCATCCTCGGGATCAGAAAAAAAAGGCAATGTTAGTGGAAGTAGCAAGTAGCCCAGCTGTTGAAGCATAGCCACTAACCTTATTTTTATTCTCAATGAACCTCCTTGGAAGTAGGGGACCGTTGAAATGTTTTCATAATCGTCAAGTAAGAAGAAACATCAACCATAGTAATGGAGAGTTACAGAACAATCATCTAATGTACAGCGGATTCTTAAAAAAGGACCAGGGTGGTATCAACCCATAACAAGCAAACCAAAAAAATGTAAAACTCCCTGACCAAACCGAAAGCAAAAAGTGACCAAACTTTGAGAGAATTGAAAGCAAAAATAGAAATATTCATTCAGCTTCCCATGAAGCAACTCGTAACCTCTCTTCAAGACGAACGGGGGCGTTGAGCCGACGGAGCTCCAACAGGCTCCTGTATCAACCAAGCCAGTCAGTGATAAAGCTTCTTGAGGATCTTTTTACGAAGTAGAGTACGAACCGAGCTGGCACGACGCTTGCGCCTGTTGCTTTCTCCAGCTCCGGGGTTAACAGTCTCAGAATAAGACTTATAGACCTCGCCCACGACGGAGATGGTGTTGTTTCGGCCACTCACCCGAATGCCCGCGTGAGCGCGGATGTTGATGGGCCGAGGATAGCCCATATCATCGTTAAGGGCATTTGCGCGATTCAGCGCAGCGATGATGACAGCCGCGACGGAGGTGAGGCGAGGAGATGTCTGGGCCTCGTGGTGAGTTGGATCAGTGGAAGAATCAGATCCAGGAGACGACACGGTAATAGTGTTTTCATCACCAGTTACAGTGATGGAGTTGTCAATGTAAATATTGATTGGGGAGGCCCACGGGTCGTCCATGTCGTGCTGATCGACGCTCATGACAGTTGTGCCACTGGGTCTGGTGACAGATAATGTGTATGGAGGCGGGGCTGTGCCTGGAGTGGAAGTAGAAGTAGAGGTAGGAGAGGTAGAGGTAGATATAGAAGAAACATTGCGATTTGCCCGGACTTCAGCGAGCTTATGTAGGTGATGTCGCAAAGAGTCTGATGGAGGCATCATTGTGAGGTTTATTCTAACGGTGTTTGTAGAGTGAAGTAGAGAAGTGTGGGTAGTGGGTTGCCTGGGTATTTAAGGTCGAGCGCTTGTCCGTTTGAATGGGCGCAAACAATAGGAAAGAGGACAATCAATAGACAATCAATAGACAGCCAATCAGAGGCCGATATGGGTCCATTGAGTTGCCTAATTGGGAATGTTCAATGGACTTCGATTGTTCTCAATAGGGATCACGTGATTGCTATTGTTCAAGGGGTATCAATAGAATAAAAACTATGTACCGGGTACCTACACTATAGTAGAAACTACCGTAGTCAAGAAGGTACCTATACATTCAGTACCATGGTTTCGCTAGTGTAGAAAATGCGCCTCCAATTCTCTTCCCAAAAAGCAAATCGGATCGCTGCGACGGTCCACAAGCCCCTGACTGTGGAGCAATCCTTCGTAGAGGGCATTTGTGTCACCATAACCAAACGGGCTGGATCCCAGATGATCGGATGTTCCTTCTTCGGTCGGTCGGGAATCTCTGATACCTACACCATCTGGGAAGGGGGCACGCCTGGTCAGGTTATTGGCTGGTCTTTCATAGGCGCAGGACATCAGACCCTACCGATAGGGTTGTTTGGCTCATTACTGCTCGACGGGATATCGGAACCAGTGTGGTCTGGGTGGGGTTGGCCCGGGTAGTATCGCCCACCTGGGTGAAGAGATTGCGCCGTCTGCAAATGATCATTAGCAAGGACAACGGCCCTTGTAGATTATCCGAGTTATACCGGTGTTTCTGTCGCGTCCGACATCCAAACCGTTACGGGTTGGTACTGACTTCGCGGAAATCATCTCCTTCAACTTCCACCTCGCGATCTCGAATCCGACGCATCAAAGCTAGGAAATTGCTTTGTTGGAATTTCTGGCTTTGTTCGTTGCGCACGCTGTCAAGCAGTTGCCCTGCTGTCCGTGCAAGTTCATCTGCATCTCGACTCCGTGTTTGTGGATCCTGCTTGTCACTTTGGGGAATAAGGTCCGATCCGAGTCGAATCTGCTCCTGGTTGACCGGCACGGAAACGTCGACTTCGTTGATCTCCTGCAAGTTCTTCTGGGTATCTTGCTGCGCAAGCTCGGCTCCTTGCAACTCCATATCCACCCGTGCCTGATCAAAGGCAGCCTCAAAGGCGGATTCATCGAATTGCTGGGTGTGATTTTGTTGCTGGGGCTGCATCTGATTCATGGAGGACCCATACATCTGGTAGCCTGGCGCAAAAGATGGCTGATAGGCACCATGCATTTGCGGGTTTTGCTGGGCCTGGGACATAGGCCCTCGTTGTTGGGTCATGAATTCAGTGTGCCATCCGCCATGTGTCGTCGCTGGTGCAATATTTGGTCTTTGTAGTTGCGCTACAGGATGCGAGGGCCCTGAAATTTGCAGGTTCTGGAAGTCCGCTGCCCAACCGGCGTTGCCTGCACTGTGTGCGGCTTGGTGGTGTACTGCGGCATGATGTAATGGTGCTCCAAAATTGGCAGGATGTTGCAAGTTAGGCAATGCAGGGCCGGCGAGGTTGCCTTCGAATGCGGCGAACTCTGGGTCGAGTATTCCTTCTTGGGGGTTCTGGGATCGGAAACCCTGGAGTATGTTGTTAGTATGGTTGTAACTATATGATATCCAAGGCGCTACTAACCTGCACAGGCGATTGACGTGAAGTCAACCGGTCTTGCTGAAGGGTCCGATCAACAGATGTATGCTTCTGGAAGTTCTGAAGGGCGTTCGACGGCCCGCACAGCGCATCAGCCATAATGATGCTTAGATCGACCAAAGTTGAGCGAGAAGTGTGATAGCGCGATTATGTTGGTCTTCAGATCTCTCAGTAATCAGTTGCCAGCACAAATTACAGAAATCATAGAAATGAAAGGTGTTGGACTGCATAAGAGACTCCACGCCACTCCTCCCGTGGGGTTGCCGACGGCCGAGGCTCATCACGTGCATAGATCCAGGTAACGTGACCAAGCGCTAAGCACACGATAAGATACGGGAAGGGCCAGGTTGTTTGGCTGAAAGGGAGAGAGAGCTGCTCCGACTCCCCGCGCTTTCACAGCTGTCAAATTTATTGTTTGCTTTCTTTATTCCAACATGGTAATTGCTATTCAGCTACCTGGATTTGAGCTTGTTTCTCAATCCCATCGCTAACAGCTTCAACCCTCCAGGCGACCCCTCAGGTGATCTCGAATTCCGGACACGAAGAGATGATTGTATGTGCTAGGATATGAACTACAATTGGTGGTCTATGCGGTTACACAATGTACTGAAGCTAACTGAGCTATGTGAAATATAGCACGATGCTGGCTTGGACTATTACGGCCGCCGGTTGGCCACATGTTCGTCCGACAAAACGATAAAGATCTTTGAGATTGAGGGAGAATCACACCGACTGGTCGAGACGCTGAAGGGGTAAGCTGGTCTTTTTAATGTATGCAATTAAAACCTGGTCATTGACATGGGTATCTGATAGCCACGAGGGCGCTGTGTGGTGTGTCGCATGGGTGAGTGATACCCCAAAACATCAGCCAGTGTAGCGCGCAATTCGACTGACCATGCGATTCTCTTGCTCTAGGCTCATCCTAAATTCGGCACAATTCTAGCCTCATCTTCCTACGATGGCAAGGTTCTGATCTGGCGGGAACAGCCCCAGAATGCGACCTCACCCTCCGGTGGTAGCACATGGACCAAGGTCTTCGATTTCTCCCTTCACACGGCCTCCGTGAACATGGTCTCCTGGGCTCCCCATGAGAGCGGATGTCTTCTTGCCTGCGCTTCGTCTGACGGCCATGTCAGCGTGCTCGAGTTCCGTGACAACAACTGGACCCACCAGACTTTCCATGCCCACGGAATGGGCGTCAACTCTATCAGCTGGGCACCCGCGGCCTCTGCTGGTAGCCTCATCAGCTCTGTCCCCGGACCCGGCCAACAGCGCCGGTTTGTTACCGGTGGCAGTGACAACCTGATCAAGATCTGGGAGTACAAGTATGTTGATTGATGGACCTTGCCAAACATACAGCTATGACGTGAACTGACTCGATGCTCTTTAGTTTGGAGTCCAAATCGTACAACCTCACTCAAACCCTCGAGGGACACTCAGACTGGGTCCGTGATGTGGCTTGGTCCCCGAGCATCCTCTCCAAGTCCTACATCGCCTCCGCCGCGCAAGACAAGACCGTTCGCATTTGGACCTCCGATGCTTCCAACCCAGGCCAGTGGTCCAGCCAAACACTGGAGTTTGACACTGTTCTGTGGCGCGTTAGCTGGAGTCTCAGCGGCAACATCCTTGCCGTCAGCGGGGGTGATAACAAGGTCAGTTTGTGGAAGGAGAACCTCAAGGGGGAATGGGAGAAGGTCAAAGATATCGAAGAGTAGTGGCTGTTTTAATTTCTATGTGTCATCTATTCCCTTCCTCAACGCATAATTTTTTTCTATCCAAAAGCTACATTGCTTGTTACCATAAATATTGATTCCACTGCGAGAATCCTATGTCAATTTCCAGCGCTTTGGGCGAGCTTGGTCTGTTTCATTCCCTATATCGTCCACCGCTCAGCTCGCAGACAAAAAGAAAAACACAAAACAAAGAAAAATACAAAAGGAAGGCAAACGAAAAGGAAAGCGTAAAAGACACCGGACGTGATCACACGTCCCAGAAGATGAATGGGCCTTTGGCCTCTGGTTCCTTCATATCCACCCATCGTCCCAGCATAATGCGGCCACCGGGAATGATGATAGCCTCATACCCATGGATCCAGCCCTCACCATCCACCCCATAGGAGGGGGCATTTCCTCTTCTTCATCATCTGCCTCAACGATGGTGAAGCAAATCCGGGCCCATCCCCCAAAGCCACCATGGGGGACAGCAATCTCTTCGGTAAACCCGAACACATAGTTCCCTGCCTCATAGGCGCCCGCATAGGCTCTCTGCCTGCCATCGAAATATGTCCGCATAGTGTCCGGGCCACCAGCGAGAGGGATGAGCTTGCTGCATTGCTCAGGCCAGAACTGTTCATAGGAGGGTTCAAGGTCAAGGGTCTTGACATATGTTAACATGGTCATCGCAGCCTTCCAAGCAACTCGCCATCCACTCACCATTACGTCGATTGAGTCGCCATGTGTCTCAAGATCAGCACATGTCTGGCGCTCGTTGATCCTTTGCAGGTCTGATAGCGGATGCATGCATGCTAATCAGAAATTGATGTCAGCTTGGGCTAATTTATATCTTCTTTCTGTCGTTATACTCACAGTAGTATCCTAGCCACGATGGGCTTAGTTTGGACACCTCGGTTGGATTATCCTTTCGCGTCTTGGGCTTCATCTCTTCAGGCAGCCCAGAGAAGGATTCTTGGTAGGTAAGCTCAGATGTGTTCAAAAAGTGACGTTGCCAGAAATTGCGCAAGTTCAGCAGTTTGGCGAGATCAAGGTCATCGTGGTCGATGAATGCCTCGCCCACCCTTTCTGCATATGAGTAGACTTGTTTGATGTCGTAGTCGGTTCGACGACAAGGTTCGGTGATGGTTAGGTCGAGAGCAAATGAAGTTAGGCACTATTAGTGGCAAATTAGTGCATGTCCAGTCCATTATTCGACGAAACGCGCGTACCAACTGGAGAGCATAAAAGAGCGGCGATGAAGTTCTTCCTTTTTGAAACTCGCTTAGGAAATCTACCCCCCTCAGGGTCTCACGGATGCGTTGCAGGGTCTTTGATGTCTCTCCAAGGGCAATGGGTAGTTTCAGAGATTCCTCGAGCATAGTCTGCATGACCTCCATCCAGAGGTATTGACGATCATATTCTTTCTCTTTGAATTGGATTGGAGCGCTCAACACAATGGCGCGGATCTGGTATTCGAACATCAACTCCCTGGAAGGTCTTCCGGGGGCCAAGTCGTAGTGTTTAGCAAAGCGAGCTCGCCAGATGGCGGACTCGTATTCGAAGACCTTGGCCCACATCTCTTTGCAAGATTGGGAGAGATGGAGAACATCACGATCGCTGGGCAGACAACATGCAATCTCCTGGAGAATCTGTTGATTTGAAAATATCAATTGCTGCAATCTACATTGTAGAATACGGACATATACTTGCCTCGTTCGGGAGCTCAAGGAGTCGGCTGCGAGCACTTTGCATGGCAGTTGAAGCAGAGTGTACGAGGTTGTTGTTCGACATGGCTTTGTCTGTTGTATACATAGTTCAGTATGCAAGTGCACAGTTCGAAGGGTCAATATGAGACAGAAGAGGTAAAGTGCGAAGAGGTAGGACTGAAGAAGAGGCGGTAAAAGTTCGATTTGTGCATTCACAAGTCCTTGAAACGATCGTTTACTGACTTGTCCTTGAGACAATCGGTTATTAAATGTGTGATGCCATATTACGGATTCTTCAATCGTTGAATTGTTAGGGCTGATGATTGTTTGCAATCGGCCAGATTATGAGAGACTACTCAGCGTGGCCAATGAGGTTCCTCTCAGATCTGACAATAGGACAAAGAGAAATCAAGAGAAACAAGGAACTGCTCTGTTCAAATTGAACCTCTTCATGGGACCAAATGAAATACGTGCCTCACAATATTGATGAATTTTGTTTACATGCTAGGTATATAGTAGGTTATATGTGTCGGGAGATACGGCGTCGCTGTAGGCTTTCTCTCACTCCCCAGCCATTTGCTAACAGACCCTTGACTTCCTCGAGGCTTAATCCACTCATCTCAGGGTAAATCGCCCATACAGCAACCCACCCGACCACACAAACAAGTGCATAGAGAGCAAACGTCCATGAGGGTGAGATCCATTGCATCATAGGCAGGAACGTAAGACCGATGATAAAATTCGATCCCCAGTTGGTTGCAGTGGCCAGTCCTGACCCCAGAGAACGTACATTCAGAGGGAAGAGTTCAGACTGCTGCCAGGGGACATTGCCGAGTCCGAGGGCATATGCTGCGGTATACACAGTAAGACAGACCAAAATGGCAATAGGCACAAGAGAACTAGGGCTATCGTCGTTTTCTTGAGGGCCAGTTGGAGGTTCTGAATTCCATTTGCCGTCCATTGACGAAAACGAAAAGGCACAGACGACCAGACCAACGACCATGACAGGGATTGAATACAGAAGAATGCGCCGGCGACCGATCCTGTCAATCAGCACAAATGCAAGCAGCGTGAAGACGAAGTTCGTCATAGCCACCGAGAGTGATGTCAGTGTCGGTGAGGAGAACGAAAGGGAGGAGAAGATGGTTGCCGAAAAATACATCAGACTGTTAAATCCGCAGAGCTGCTGGACCGCCTGGAGCATCATTGCTATTATCAACGCTCTTCTGTTTCCGCCATGCAATAACTGCTGGCCCCGTTGAATAGTATCATGTAACCACTGGGGTTTTGTGCCGCGAGACTTGGGTTGTCCCATCTCCGATGCCTCTTGGATGATTTCCCCATTGATATTGCGCAAGACACGATCCACCACCTGGTCACACCCAGGGCAATCCTGATATATCTTGGTCAGGACATTCTTCGCCCGGGCATCGAATCCAGCCTGGACCAGCCATCGAGGCGTCTCTGGTAGTAGAGCGAGAATAGCAAGCTGGACAAAAGCTGGGAATGCTCCAATTCCCACAATCCACCGCCAGCCTCCAGTTGTACTGGAAAACAGCCACCCAACGATGTATGCCACCACCTGGCCACCGGTGACGAACAGACAAAGGATCGTGACAAGTCTTCCTCTTGCGTGCGAAGGAGCCAACTCGGAGATATACCTGGAGAAATTTCCCAGCATGTTAGCCATCAACTTTCTCATAATCAAACTTCTGCCACGACTTAGGGTTCATAGCCCCCTCCCCGCCTGACACGCCACGGCCAACCTACAATGGTGTCACTGCACTTGCGCTACCAACAGCAAGACCAACAACGCTGCGTCCAAGAATCATGCCCCAAACATGGCTTGTAAAGGCCTGTACCAAAGCTCCAAGTGCAAACAATATATCTGCGCCAAGTATGACCTTCCGACGACCAAACTTGTCCGCCAGCACTCCAGTGAACGGACTCGCGACTAATGCAAACAGACTAGTACAGGATGTGATGAGGCTTTTATCGAGTGTTGTTAATGACCGATCCGAAAGATCTGACCCGATGGTCACCAAAGTTGACGAGATAACACCTGTGCTGGAAGTTCCGACGATTGTTAGTGAACCAGAGGATCAATGGAGCAGCATGACGTGTTTGATAGGAGCTAGCATACTCATATCCGAATAGTAGACCGCTTATCCCAGCGGAGAAGGTCAATGCCCATATAAACCAGCCTCCGGAGTATTCCAGCTCAGAGGCCAGGCTCTCGTCGTGATCATTGTTGTCATGGTCTGAAGAGGCGTGGGTTGAGGCGAGCAAAGGGGCATGGGGACCTGATTGGTCTTGCTCATCTACACCGGTCATATCTTCGCGCTCTTCCAGCTCTAGCCCTGAGGTATCATCTGGATTTATCCCCTGGGGCATCTGAGATGGTAAAGTGACGTCTGGGGTTGATCGCGATAAGCCGATAAGAAGGCCCGCTCAAAGCCCGGAGCGGAACTCGAATTCCGCACGCCGATGGGGTTCAGTTTGTTGTAAACAAGGAAGAGTAAAGAAACAAGGAATAGGACTGGAATCCTATGACCTGGGTGACAATGGCTTCATATATATGCAATGGGTGGAATGAATGCCTAATATATCAGGCAGAGAACATACTGGGCTAACTAACTAGTCAACTACATAATACAAGAAACAACAATAATAGTCATAATGTAGATTCATGCAGGATATTCATAGTTTTTACGGCATTAATCTGTACATGTATAGCCCTACTACCTTAGTGTTTAGCCACAACACCGGCAGCATCAGCCTGTGCGCTGATCTTCTTCTTGTAGGCGTTGACGGTGCCGTCGAACTTGGTAACAGTACCGCCATCGCAAACCCAGAGACTGGTGCAGACACTCTGCAACATGGTCACATCGTGGGAAACCATCACCACACCGCCCTCGAACACCCGGAGTGCATCCGCCAGCGCATCCATACCCTCGATATCCAAGTGATTGGAAGGTTCGTCAAGAACGAGGATATGAGGGTTGGTCAAGGACAAGCAAGCAAATGCAACACGAGATTTCTGACCTCCGGACAGGAGTTCCATGCGTTGAAGACCGGTTGTACCAGTAATACCAAACCTATAAGATGAGAATTAGTCAATGCAGTGGATACGAGTGGTTTGAATAAACTTACGCTCCCAGGTGCCGTCGGTACTCCTCGTCTGTTCTACCGGGGTATGTCTTGGTCATGAAGCCGACTGCACTGGTAGTCATGTCCAAAGCATCGACGTGATGTTGGGCGAAGAATCCAATGCGCAGTCTCGAGTTTGTGGAGATGATTCCGCTTGTAGGCTCAAGCTGGTTAGTGAGTAGTTTCAGGACGGTAGTCTTACCAGCACCGTTAGGTCCGACAATTCCGATACGCGAATCAAGTTGAACATCCAGGTCGACATCCTTAAGAAGAGGCTTGTCCTTGGTGTAGCCGAAGCAAACTTCGGACATCTGGACAATAGGTGGTGAAAGTTTCTCGACTCCGGGGAATGCAAAGTGCACGGTGTACTCGGCCTCTGGGGCTTCAAGAACTGGCATGCGCTCAAGCTTCTTGATTCTCGATTGTGCCTCGGAGGACTTCGCAGCATTGTATCGGAACTTATCAATGAATGCTGATGGCGATCGTTAACACGGCCCCTATGATAATATAAAGGGGGTGACAAACCTTGCAAGTGTGCTCTCTCGCCCAGTTGCTTCTCGTATTCGCGCTTAGCGGTCTTCCGGCGCTCCTCTTTGGTTGCGTAGAAGGATTCTACAAACTGTTAGAACCATCAATAGTCTTGAGATTTCATATGACTTACCGAAGTTAGCACCTCTGTAGTAGTCCAACCTCTCGGAGTGCTGGTGGATAATATCCGTGGCGACTTCGTTCAGGAATGCACGATCGTGAGAAACGACGAGGACTGTGCTAGGGTATCCCTGAAGGTAATTGGAAAGGAAAGTGATTGATGGAACATCCAACATGTTAGACGGTTCTGTTAAAATGTTAGTAGGTTGCTTGTGGAATAAGGAGTCCAATGGCACATACCGTCGAGCAAAAGCAAATCGGGCTCGCAGAATAGAGCTCGTGCGAGAGACAAACGCATTCTCCAACCTCCAGAGAAGGTCTTGGTGGCGTACTGCTGGCGCTCTTGGGAGAAACCAAGACCAGCCAAAATACTGGCCGCACGGGATTCGGCCTTATCAGACTCCATTTCTGAAAGTTTTCCGTGAATATCGCTCAACGTGATATCCAGGCCCTCTCGCTCCTCATCGAGTCTAGCAGCATCCTTCGAAGTATCCGCCAATGAAGATCTTTCTTCTTCGATTTCTGCCAGTTGTTTCGAGATTTTCTATGGTCATCAGTGAATATCCTGCTGTGGTATCTTGTGACTTGACTAACCACTTGCTCCCCGAGAAGATGTTTCCGCCACACATCAGCATCCAACACTGCTTGCAAAGCTGGTGTATCATCACCAGTAATCTACGATAGATATCAGTAACAAAAAAAGCAACCGAGCTGTGATGGGAACATACCTCTTGCTCAACGTGAAGAATAGAAACGTGAGTGGGAATCGGGATTTCTCTGCGACTCAAAGCACGCAAAAGTGTCGATTTACCGATACCGTTCTGACCAACAAGACCGTAACGACGACCATAAGCGAGTGTGAAGGCAGCATCTGTAAGAATGCGCAGGCCACTAATCGAGATATCGATGTTGTCCAACTTGATGTCCTTACTCTTGGCTTGGGAATCCGATCCCAATTGAAGAGGGTTGACAGCCATGAAGAACTCCTCGTAGGACATGGCCTCATCCGGCTGGTTGAGCAGACGGGACGCCTCGTAGGTCACGTTCTTCATGGACTTCTTGTCCTGCTTGGCGCGAATCTTGCGCTCGGCCTTCTCGAGCTTCTTCTTGTCCACCTTGGACTCCATCTTTCTGGCATTGGCAGATTCCAAATCGACGGTGTTTCCAGTCAGACCCAATGTAGAAGACATGTTCCTCTGTGCGCCGACATTGATAGTCTGTTCAAGCTTCTTGGCCTTGAAGGGCATTTGCCTCTGCTCTGGGTCGCCATCGGAAGAGCCCAGCGTGGTGATGAACCTCGCGACCAAGTTGCCGATCGCATCGTAGTTTTGCGGGGAGAAATCTCCCGAAGCGGAGACCAGGAGCTCGATCACGGAGTCGGCGGCCTCTGCCAAGGGGGACTGGCCACTGGCATCGTCGACGTAGAGGTTTGCGGCATGGGTCAAGTAGCCCTGTCGAATAGTCAGTGTCGATCAACTTACAATTCACCACCGCGCATGTGTGCGGAGATACTTACTACTGAGTATTCGGTGATGATTTGGTCGAGGCCAGGGATCTGGGATTGGAGTTCAGACTCCATTTTGCCAGACTCGAGATGACGTGCGTCACGTCGAGATTCAGGAAGCTTCGGCGTCAAGAGTTTGTGGAGTTCTGGAATCGAGGTCCCCATCGTGAATAGTGGCGGATTTTTGGATGTGTGTTATCGATAAGATCACATGACAAGTGTTTATCGTCAAGAAATAGCTGCCCAGGTGGAAGCAAATCCTGTCTTTTAGGATAATGCGAAGGTGTGCCAGATAATAAATATCAGCTAGAGTAGAATTTGTTCCTACGCTTCAAAGGATGCTAAACTAAATGAGAGGTTGCTAGGTGGTTGTTCCTTGCCATATATTTGCGGGTACTATACCAAAATATAAGCAATTTCTCTCATCTCGACAGGGAACTATATGATTGTAGCTTTGCTTTGAAGAATTGACCAACAATGGAGGCTGCTGACAGCCGCAAGTCGAATAAAAATGCTATTTAAGAGAGATGGCTGGTTGTGTATTGCTAATCCCGGCATGAAGTTGTTGAAGACGAGGCATCTATCATATATATATTAGCGAGCATATATCCATGGATGGCAGCATTGAGATACTATTCCTGGGAGATAGTTGTCGAGATCTGGTTTTATCAATGTGAAGCTTTTCAGAAAGTGTGGGCCATTGGTATTATGTTAGCACATTCATCCATCGGCCTAGGAATATCTTCGAATCCGTAAAGCCACATGTGTACACCGTACTCCGTACTCTTTATGGGAGACGACAAGAACTCTTGATATGCTTCAATGTCCTCCGGGTAATCTAGTCAAAATCAAAAAAATTCAAATCCGAGCCTTTGCGAAAGAGAAGTGGTTGCCGAGGTGAATTAACCTCGCTTCGGCAGGTTCCCAACCGACTAGTTAATTGAGTGCAGATAGTCAAGTTTTGAATCACATTTGTGATAGACTTGCGGGAAACAAGCATCAGATCACCTGAATGTCACACAGCCCCAATGTTTGAGAAGTCTCTCAGTGACAGACCTAGGAAGTAGACGTAGCATAATGATCGACCTCAGCTCCGGCCGTCTCCCCGGTCCGTTGATAAGCGAGGTTCCATGGATTGCAATGAGCATAAGCAGCACGCCTATCTGACCGCTCGTCTCCAAAGATGTTTCGGTTACCCCCATACGGAGTACAGTTGATATCAATAGACATAGACGGTGAAGCGAAAGAGGTGGCCTGACTAGTGTACTCTGCATCGACAACTGGACTCTGACAAAATCACCTAAATTAGATAGTTTTGCAGGCTGCAGGGTGTTTCATAAGCAGTTTCATGTTCGGAGAAGTTGCATTAGACCAGTAATTAATAAAATGAAATATGAACAGCACAAAGGTAATTAATTATCAACTGCCTGATATTATTCAAGTTTGGAAGCTGGAAACTAGAAGCTCTTCCAACCCCTGTAATCACACTTATCACACGAAAGTCGGAAATTGCAAAGCACGGGCTTGCAAAATGTGCCGAGACTCCAAGGGCCGAGACTTCAGCTCCCAGGCTAAAGTTACTATCTTTGTTTATTTTTCAGAAATCAAGAACTATTCGACCAGAACATTTCATCAAACAGTGCAGGGAAGATCTTGTTCGGGTCTGCAGGTGCACGGCAGCCAACACCGATATAACGGGTGCCGGCATGTGAGAATAAACAAATTAAAGTATTGGCTTATAGTTACCGATGAACGGTTGGAACACATGGCAAGACCTAATACGATCAACTATAGCGAGTAACTTTGTCCGTACATATAATGTTCCATATATTGACCTTCCAAACTGAATGATTGGATATGCCGATCGCTACGGAGTACAAGCTTGGGGATCAGCCTAAATTAACTTTTTAAGTGAGGAAAACGATATAAAAATAAATAAATAAAGATCTTGAAACACAATTTGCTTGGTCCCCCGCTCCTTGATACGCTATTGACGGTTTAACTGCCAACAAAAAGCACACATTCGGAGTTAAAGAACCGATTTGTGACCCACGAGGACTCCCTTTTTCATTTGCAGAGTGGAATAAGTGGAGTGTTATATGATGTCAACAAAAATACGGAGTAGCACTGGGTACTATATCGAGTTAATTTGCCCAAAATCGAACAGGTCAACTGTTGATCTTCGAAAGTTCTTTGATATAGCATTTCGAGTATGGACGGAGTACTCCGTACTGGCCCTTACATTGAGCCTCCTCAACTCTTCAAATGATATTCCAATGTTCTATTCTAGAAGCGAAATTAGAAGTGGATTTGAGGGGGTCAAATATAGAAGAAGAAAAAAAAACCTGTATAGAGCTGACAGCTTGACGTTCACAGTGGATATACAGTGAAGCCCATAGTTAATATAGATGTACCATGGTTCATCGTCGGAGAAACACCTACAGAAAACCAGTGGACACCCGATCGGCCTGGGTCCTTTTCACGATGCCACTAACGATCCTAGTCAGGCTAGGGGGACCGAAGACGTGATCTCAGCCAGCCAATTCCAGATATGTGGGGACTTTAGGATCGCATGGCTTTTTTGGGGGCCTTTTGGCTCCTCCATTTCCTTGCTCTTTGCGCTCTTCGACCACTTAGGAACGGACTTGTCCGGTTGCTCGAAAAGTTCTGGACGATGACGCCAATGAATGTGAGCCGCAAGGGATGTGCCAACTTGGCTAATCCTCTTGCATTCTGCATTTGCAATAACACCCGCAGGATCGTGCACGAAAGCTAGTACCTTTTCGTGCTACCCTGTCGTAGAGATGCAAATCGGGGTATTTCTCTCGGACCGTGCAAAAGTATGAGTTGGTTGGTTTTCAGGGCACATAGATTTTCCCTTTTGAACCTTCAAGTGAATGCCCTTGAAATGAATATCAACATCCGAGACATCAATTGTTCATAAATTGATATAATATCAAATAAATCAAAAAAAGGGTCCAAGGAGGGGAGTTATTGAGGTTGCTCCTAGCGTGCGCAGGGCGGGAGCTGATAATCCCCGTGTGTTGTTGTTGATTTCCCCGGGTCACATCCACCCCCATCTGGTTCCTTTCCTTCTTTACTCGGCCTCCCAGGGGGTAGAGGCATATTTTTCCAGACTGGCTGTGCTCGGCGTTGCCCATTCATTCCTTTTCTTTTTCTTTTTGCTTTGTCTGGAGCGTCAATCGTGGCCTAGTTGAGGCAGCGCACTTCTCCCACTCGGCCTTGCAATTCGCACTTCCTACCCCCTCATCCTTTTTTGTCCCTTTTTTTCTTTCGTTTTTCACATCCATCTGGAATGTCATTCGCAGATTTTGTCAACCTGGAGCTGATCGTTGGGGTGTTTGACATCCTTCGCGGCGTCTGAGGATGGATCACATATCAACAGTAAGCGCCCCCCAAGTGGGATATCAACCTCCACGAGACCCGGAACTGCTTGCACTCCGGCGGTTTGGTCGCTTCGGAATGTTCACTGACTGGCGCTTCTAGCTCTGTGCATTAAGCACTCTCGGAATAGCTCCTACCGGCCTCGCGCTCGGTCGCGCAGAACGGACACAGAGGCCTAGCCTCTTTCGGCGCAAGACTGTCGCTCAGGATCTCCCCCAGTCGGTCCCTAACAACACCCAAAAGACGACAGATGTTGCCCGGCCCAAGACCGCTATCCCATCCCGAAGTCCGGCCGCCGAGTGGCTTGCCGCAAAGGAAGAGGAAATCTCTCAGGTAAGCCAGGGAGCGGATCTGCCGAAAGCGCCATTGTCATTCAGCGGTGCGAGACGCCGCCGTCGGGGTCAAACCCTCACAAACCCGCCTTTGCGAATTCCAGAACATGAGTCGACGGACTCCTCGGCCGAATCACACGTCCGGCGGCCATCCACCGGTTGGCTGCGGCGGCTGTCGATGGCCTCATTCCAACCTGACAGCCCGACCGCAAGTAGTCCAGTAGCGCCCTCATTCAATGGATCAGCAAGTCCCATTTTTCCTCACTCGCCCCGCCAGCGAAGACCGCCGAACAAATTAGTCAAGCGCCCGACCTCGCAGCATACGAATACGCACCCACTTGGCACGAACACCATCTCTGGACCATCACCGGCTGCGCTGCGCAGGCCTGCTACTAGTCACCAGAGGTCGGAGTCAATGATCCTCCGGACTCCATTGACACCTGATTTCGATGCATATTTTCCAAAAGCTTCTGTCGAGGGTCCAGCGATCGAAGAATTCGAGCTCAATAACCAGAAGCATTGGACACCATTTTTCTTTCCCAAGGTTGGCAAATTAGCAGAGAGGCTTTCGCGCAGATTCTCGACCACCACTGCGCCAAAGGTTCAGAGTGTACGCCAGGTTGGGTCTGACCAGCGCGCTCTTCCTGCGTTGGTTATGGCTAATGAGATCTCACCCACAGCTTCTCCGCCCCGAGAAGACAGATCAGTACCTCATACCCCAATTGAATTCCGCAATCCGTTCCAAACAGCCCTTTCTGAACCTGCTCCTGAGCAGCCAGTTGCCCCGGAACAGCGAGCAGTGAAACCGGGCCATAAACAGTCATACTCGGTCAACGATGTTGAGCCGAAAATTGTCATGACAAATACCGTCACCGCACACGGGACACCGATTATGGGACTCGTTCGCGGTGGCTCTCTGAAGCGAGTTAAGGGTAGGACCTTTGCAGTACCTCCTTCCGAACTCTCAAGTGAAGAACAGAATGTTCTTATTCCGAGTTCCCCGGAGCCTGAGCCACGGCGCAACATTACTGATCCAAGCGTGTTTCGCGCTCCGTACCCCATTTCCCAGTCTGGTTGGGCTGATTCGGCTTTGGAACGACGGTCTCAAGTTGGTCCCCGATCGGTATCGCAGGACTATAACGTTGGCTTGGGATCTCGGGCTGGTTCACGTCAAATGACCTCGGACGCGGTCGCCCTGTCGGCCTGGCAGCGAGCATCTCGTCCTGGTGGTCGAGTTCATGGTTCTCTTCGTCGCCGCCCCAAGGGATTTTCGATTTCAGGTTCGGATCCGGCTTCCACCGTCATTGGTTCCGATGACACGCGGGTCTTTACGTCGTGCGATGGATATGAGACGGATGTGATTTCGGACTATTGGGACTCTGTCCGCACACGTGAGACCAATCGCAGTGGACTCAAGGGGCTGCGGATTGAGACGATGTTTGATAAAGCAGGTGCGAATTTGGTGAACGAGGAAGCCACGACCTTGGAGTCTCTCCTCCCGCGGGGTTCCTTCGCCGCTCGGTCTTTGAACAAGGACCCCCAATTATTTACTGATCCGCTTCTGTCTTCCCCTCCTTTGGTGCAAACATCCAAGGTTGGAAATCCGTTCCATGCTGATGTGGCTGACGATGATGCTCTCAGCATGATTCGAGCGCTTCCTGGCGATGATCGTGATTGTTTTTCATCTTCTCTGACGCATTCATTGGCCAAATTTGCTGAGCAGCCCGAGTCGCGTCTCGACTCACCCAAGGATATGGCTGGATCGTTTGTGGGCGAGTTGGATTGGGATGTCAACAAAAAGACAAACATCTTTGACTGGTCCGAACAAGCACACCCTAACCGCGAATCATCGGACTGTGAGACGCGCCCTCGGACCATGCATGGGAAACAAGAGGGTGTTGTTGATAGGAACAGTCGGGCTGTTTGCCGGAAAGCACCATCCACCGTCCATCTTAGGAGCCAAAGCGTGCCAGTTGCCAGTGAACATCCCATCAACGAATCGCGTCAAACTTCTGGCAAGTTCGGTACGTGGGGCTTGGGCAGTAAGGGTGTCAGTGAAGATTGGGATAGCGATTTTGACTTTGACGAGTCGGATGAAACAGCTGTCGCCGAAAATCAACCACTTATTGAGCCTGATCTTAACCGCCAGAGCATGACTGTTCCCAAAGCCATTCTGGAGCGCCAAGCGAGTCTTCGTGGTCAATTTGGACAGGTTCAGGAATTAACGCTGCTTGTGGAGGAATTGAAACGTCTTCGGCATCAAGCAAATGTCCTAGGTGTTGTCAACGGATCTTCCAGTGAACTGTGGGCAGAAGCAGAGCAGATTGTGAACCTTGCTACCATTGACGATGAAGAGGAGCGTCGCTCGCCGCCAGGATCTCCATCGTCTCTCACTTTCAGTTTTGATGAATCCGACGATGACTGTCTTAATGCATCAAAGCGCAACAGTGAAGTTTCATGGGAGGTGCCGCGCGAAAAAGTTGAACCCACGTTGCCCCTCGCTCAGCTTGCAAAGGACTCCCCAAAGTCCAAATCTGTACTTGATATTCTCCAACCTCGTGATCAACAAAAGCCTTCGGCTCTGAATGAGTTGGAATTAGCGTCACGTGCAAAGAAACTTCCATTTGATACTTCCTCGTTGAAGAATTTGGTTTCTCGTGCAGGTGTGGTGACGCGTGCGTTGAAGGAAGTTATTCGCAAAGCAGACGGGGTAGCAACCAGCCCTCAGGACTTCCCTCAAGACCCGCCATTCCGACGTATTTTCGACAAACCATCTCACGATGATATTGCCAGTTTTGAAGCAGCACTGGCTGACATGTCCTAATTCCCTTTTATTTTCACACTCAACCCTCACTCCCTCTCATTATCTTCCATCCGCCACCACAACCCATGAGACCGAAAAACACTTGATCATTTGCATGACCATCTTCTTCATCCTTACCTAATGTTTGCTCCCTGCACTATCTCGGAGAATCCGTTCTATTTCTTTCACAGTGCGATCTGACCCAAGACGCTATTACCTTTTTTTTCATTCTCGTGTACAACTCTACCACCAATGTACATTGCCAACACAGTCCTTCCCCTCCCTTCCTTTTCATGTGTGCATCCCACACATACGAGTGCCCATGGGGCCCATGACCTTCCATTTTCTCTTGTGTCATCTTCCCATTCCTTTCGTTCATGTTTCATATTTGCGCCGCTCATATTTTTTAATTGCGCTGTACTAATCACAGAGGATTCCTTCCAAAGGGGATGACCTGTACTCTGATGATGTTTTCAAACGAAGACCCCCATACCAGGCAAGATGAAAAGCAATGAACCCCAGTTGTGATGATTAACCGGGGACAAGCCCTGCAATTCTATGAACTTGCCATCCTGTGTCTAAGTCTAATACAAATGAACCCGACTTGTAACCTGATTAACAGAATATCAAACCTAACCTCCGTAAACGGTATACAAGATAGCACATTCTCATAGACAGTTCCAATGGCACTGCTAAAATTGAGGAATTGCGTCTCGTCCTAGACAAATTCTCGGGGGGTATTGATTTACAATACATCTTGTTTCACTATTGGGCCCGATATATATACTCCCTAAGTACAACATCATTCTGGCACTTAAAACGCAGCCGCTGCCAATTCTTTGTACTAGGCAAATTACATTAATTTTAGAGTATTCGACTAGCTCCAAATTTGTTTAGTCTTGATATAATATACCTAATGAGTTCAATGTTCAATAGAGGCGTTTCGTGGCTGTACAAGTCCGTAGCGGGTCACCAGGACAAGATATGGCAGTTTATTCACAGATCTTTCACGACTATTTGAATAGTTTGCGCTTAACTCGACATAACTCGATTGGTCCATTACCAATGCCGTGGTAGATTATCCTCTTTGCCTACATAGGTATGTATCTAAAGGTTTCCCTTTGGAGAATTGACCTAATACCTAACAACCTAGCTCAAGGAGTAGATAAGAGCAAAAAGCAAACCAGTGAGACTGAAGAGAATAAAAGATATGTCACACAGAATACAACATACATGAGGCTGGCAGTTATAATATGTGCCTTCAGGGTATACAATCTTGATATGTGTAGTTAATCCGAGTATTATCCGGGGACATGGAAATGAGGGGGCCACACCGGCGTCTCATGTTGAAATCAAGAATCACAGCCTCATATTCGTATTGAATGTCTTCACTCCTACGGACTACACTGAACAGTTTATTCTCAAATACTCTATGTTAAAGATAAGCATTAGCCAATGTGAAGGGTCAGGACTTGGCATAGGCCTGGAGATACTAGAAAGAAAAAAAAAAGAAAAAGGAAATGGCCCCCTTGTGCCCTTACATACGGAGTACAGAAATGTAATAAAACAAGATACAGCCACCTTTTTATTGTGTGCCCACCCTCAACTCAGGGGCAGCCGTACAACCATTGGCTGACCGAGAGCGGGTTCCTCTAGAGGTCAAGTGTCTTACTGCCTTGCTTGGTGCATTCGAGTCAAGTATAAATTAAAGAGAAGGATCATGAGATCAGCATAGAAAAATAACAGAAACCGAAACAATAACAATAAAAGTACAAAAAAAAAAATCGACCGTTCTAAATTAAGACTCAGGGGGATGCGGAGAGTACAATACAAAGTCTCTGTATAACGCTAGTCCGCTGTTCTAGTCCACTATTCTAGAAACTCTTCTCCCCTTCTCCTCTTTTCTTCTTCTCTTTATCCATTTGGCCGACACTCTTTTTTAGGGACATAGTCCTGTTCACTCCTTTATACTTATAGTCACTCTTTTTCTACATTGATTTTTGAGACCCTGAACTTAAATGACGAGCATCAATCTCCGGCTATCGCCATTTTAAAACGTGTTGACCGGTCTTCACGTTCCAGACAAGTCGGGTCTATCCCTATAGACCAGACTACATCGACTATGTCTCATGCTCACCACGGCTTGGTGATGCGAAACCACCTTCGTCGGGATGTAATCCCTCCGAATCGATTGCCATTTTTGGTACCCACAGCCTCCTCTATAGCCACCAAGCTTCCATCCCTCGTGGCAAGAGCCGAAGCATCTTCGACAATTACGGGAGAAAAGCCCACTAGCAACCTGACAACGACGGTCTTACCTGTCGTGCTCGGTGCAGGTGTTCCCATTCTGTGTGCTATTATCGTCCTCATTGTGCTTCACCGGAGACATGTCAAGAAACTTAGGCGGGAAGATGCAATGGATAAACATAAATCTCTCGATTTTGGAATGGATACAGTGGGGCCTGCAACTAGGAGGAAAGGGCATGGAATGCCCCCGATGTCCGAACCCACCCATACCAAAGGACTGTCTCTTGATGTCGGTCCTTATCTGATGCCTCCGAACCTGCAAGGTTCGCCGGATTCTCTGCACTCCATGTCAATTGACGATGACAAATACCGCCCGGCCACTGCCTCCATTCGGTCGTACCCTAAGGGACATCGGGATGATGCATCGAGCTTCGCGGGTTCCCGATTTGGAGACGATGGCAGCTCGGGTCTTCTCCAGAATGCACAGAGGATGTCTCGTTCAGACCCACCGCTATACTCCTCCCCTACCGAATCTCATGCACGCAGTCCTGTAAACAAGCCCAATGACTACCGTGGGCAAGTTCCCGGGGTGACGCATCCACCTGCTGCACATCAACCCGGCATGGCTATTGGAAGTCCCAATGGCAACAGGATTCCCTCGCCGGAGCCACTGCCTCATCTGGATTCCTCTTCGGGCCTCAACTTCGGATTGGATGATACATATGGCAACTCATATAACCAGCACGAAGGGCGGCTCAACTTCCCGCTGCCTGAGCCTTCGCAACCACGAGACTTGAATCATGGCCAGGCTCCTGCATCACAGCTTCCTCGTATTTCCCTGCCGGCCAGTGACGTTACCACTAGTGACTATGGGGATGACCGCAAGTCGCAATCCACTCTCCCTGCGGTCAACATCCATGGAACAGAAGATGTACAGCCACATAATGCCCCAAGCCACGATAACAAGCATCCAGAACTCCCAGAGGAGCCTCAAAATCTGGATGCGGCATATGATAACCGCCGCGATACCCGCCGGATGACTCTCGGTTTGCGCCCGTTGCCCCCAGAAGACCCCGCCGACAACCCAGAACAGCGTGCCAATCGGATTCGCTCCTTCTACAAGGAGTACTTCGATGAGAGCAAGGGCGGCCAGGAGCCCACATACTACGAGGACTTTGGGCCCGAGTTCTATGAGAACGGTGGTAATTCAGCTGGTTTCATCTACGACCCCACCACTGGCGAGTATTACGATGCCTCTGGGGGTCCTGCTCCATTCGCCGAGCCGATTACTCGTCGCGCGATGACGCCGCCGCCTCGCGCCCCTCCACGCTTCCAGGGAGCCGCCCGCCACATGGCTACCAACTCCGCTGGAGGCGGCATGCCTGGGCCACGCGCATTCTCATCTGCCTCTGGCCGTATGCCCGGGCCACGCGGTCCCAAGAAACCAATCCCACCCCCATCACCGCTACACGTCCTCCCTACTCCTCACATGTTGACGGACGACTCCCTCATGATGGCCATGGACTTTGCCCCGGCATATGGAGCCAAGGACCGCCGCGCGGGTCGCCCCGAGACACCCACCGGTGGCATGCGCCCCTACGTCCCTAGTGTGCGTGCCCACACTCCGCTGGTCTCTGCCTTTGACGAGCTCGCCGTAATGCCGAGTCCCCACGCGCTGCGCAAGTCTGGCACGTACACCAACCTAGACTTTGTGCCACCGCCCCGGTTTAAGAACGAGGGTGGTACCGGCAGCGATGCGGGTAGTATCCGCAGTGCTCGGACGGTCGTCTCTGCCAACCACCAAAATAATATCCGCATGGGCAACTACCGCGTCAGTCGTCTGCCAGCCGAGGCGGTTGGCACTAAGGACGACATGATGACTAGTTTGCGTCCGAAGTGGGATATGAACAACGCATAAGGAAGTGGCCTTGTTGCCCTTCCAATGTCATGACTTTGTTGTTTTGGTACCTTGTATAAGAGCACGTGATGATCTGATTTGTTTTTTTTGTTTTGTTTCTCATCTGGGTCCCCCGGTGCTTGAGCTTTTGTGGGGGGGGTGATGGTCATCGCCCCCTTTTTTATATTCGTCCTTTTGGAAATCTGCTATCAACGGCGTAAATAGATGATGGTTGGATTCTTTCCCGTGACCACTGTGAAATTTCATTTCTTGTGCCCAGTCTCTGGGCTGTATATATTTGGATTGGTAGAGGTTGGATTGTAGATAGTACTCCAAATCTTGAAACGTCTCAATCTTCTCAGATTTGGTGAATATTCGTAACCCACTATTATTAAGCGTTCGGATACGTACAACGGGAAGTTGTTCTATGGAGACATCGGGCCGAGCGTCAAACAGTCAGGGGCAGAGATCACACCAATTTTAATATTCATATGGGCACGCAAAAAACAAGATTATTATGCCGATCGTATTTTTAACACTTGTTACAGGAATATGTAAACTCTATAACAAAACCGTCAGAATTAAAAGTGGCAACTGAGTACATTCTGCATCATTGATCTCGACTATACGAGAATAATAGACATTATATTATGTATAATTTGTATGCAACCTTGGAATCTGCCTTGGCACTTCCAAGGTTCCTTACAGCCCTGAAGGCCTCCCATGGGTACACTCAGCTCGGTTCTTCGGTACCAAATAATCTTCAGGTAAATATACGAAATATGTTCAAGTTGTTTTCAGATCTTTGAGAGTAGGAAGTAGTAGGGAGTAGGAGTAGTAGAAAGTAGTAGAGAGTGTTAGATCACATATGTCCTGATAGCCATATGGGAGGCCGCATGGCCGGATCTAGGGATTGCCAGAAGCAGTATGTTGCAAGCGATGCAACTGCAACTCAAAACGTAGCATAAATTAGAGGTACTATCCATGCTCAAGTGTGCTTTTTGTATATAAGCACAACATAAGTAAAAAAATATAAGTGCCTATTAATACAACTAGGAATGCGGATACGCCGCAATCGTAAGAAATCTCCACTTTCCCACTTCACATCTTCCTCTCTCCCACACACTTCTCTCATCCCATGGCTACCAGATTCGGCGAGAGGTTGTGAGTATTCATCTCTCTTTCATTTCCATTTTCCTTCTCTTCTATATTCCTTCTTGAGATATCACCGAGTTTCCCCTGAGGCCCCGATCCCCCCATCTCTCCTTACGCGTTCAAACCGCAGTCTCTCGTTAAATCAATCTATTTTAACTCGTGTTTGAACTTGTGACTTGCAGTCTGATTCAATCCGAAAATTATTTCCGCACCCGGAAGCATCCTTAATCTCTCAAAACTCGCCGACCGGTGTCGCGGTTTAGGATCACTTTCAATCCTAACAACCGCCAATCTCACCGACCTATTCTTAACATTGGACCAACATTGCTATTGAAGATGGCTTCACAATCTAAAGCCGGTGCTGCTGCCGCCGCCACCGCTCTGGGATCTAGTGCGCCTGCTCCCGCGGACACTGCTGCACAGACGTCGCCGACCGCTGAGACCGGTGCAGCAACTGCCACCCAACCTACCACCACTTCAGCCGAAACGACCTCGTCGCCGGCGCCTGCTCCTACCACATCCACTACAGCTGAACCGACTACCACCAGTAGCACTAAGAGCAGTACTAGTACCACGCACACGACTGAGCCTACCACGTCGACCGAGTCTACGGCCGCTCCGTCCACATCCACATCCTCCACCTCCACCTCTTCCACTTCTTCCACTACAACCGCTCCGTCCACCACCTCGGCTCCCGAGACGACCACGTTCTCATCGATCTCCAGTGGCAGCCAGGGAACCACTGTGGTTTATATCACCTCCATTCAATCACAGCCATCTAATACCGGTGCCGCGTCTGTCAGCGCAACCGATTCGGCCGCGCTCGCAACCTCCACCGGAGCTGCAGGCTCCTCGGGCGGTCTTTCTCCGAGCGGCACAATCGCCGTCGCCGTCGTTGTCCCGGTTGCCTCGGTGGCATTGATCATCTTGGCACTGCTCTTCTTCTGGCGTAAGCGCAAGGCGAACAAGGCCGCCGAGGAGGAGCGCCGCAAGGAAGTGGAGGAGTACGGATTCAACCCAAACAACGACCCAACCCTTCCCGGTATGGGAGGCGTTGTGATCCCCAAGGACGACGAATCCTCCGGCTACCGCGGCTGGGGAACCACCTCTGCCGGGCGCAAGGCTTCCACCAACCTCTCCAGTGGAATGGGTGGCCTAGCCATGTCGGAAGGCAGCAGCCCCGGTTATCACCACGGCGCAACACCCAGTGAAGGCACCGTTCAATATTCCGATGGTACCCGGCCCGACTCCGGTGAGATTGTTGAACCAATTGGCGTGCTGGGTGCCGCCCCAGTGGCTGCAAACAACCGTAACGGCGACATCCACCGCGGCCCCTCCAACGCATCTTCCGCTTACTCCGCAGCCAACCGGTCTGAGGCGTCGGAGGAAAGTCACATGTCCGCTGCCCACCCCTCTGGTGGTTACTACGGTGAGAACCCGTACTACGGCGACATCAACACACACGGCGCATATGGCGGCGAAGACTACCAGCCTGTGATCCGCGATGTCCAGGCGCGCCGCAACACCCGTATCGAGAATCCCGGTGTTTATCCACGACAGGGGAATGCCGGTATCGCCCAGAACTTCTAATGGCCTGACTGATTCGGATTTTCCATAATCTTCGATCTCTAAAAGCTCGGCATCTCCCTTTTGTTTTGTTTTTAATCTTGCACAATACCACACACTCTTTCTCAACCACCGCCGACTTCATTCGTTCCTTTCGGGTCTCTCATGTTCCAATTCCCGGCGCGATGGATCTTCACTTCGTCATGTCTCTATTGTTCTCTACACTTTTTTTTTTTCTTTTCTTTTTTCTCTCTCTCTCCCACTTAATCGGCCTGTCGGGCTTTGATTTGGTTTGGTCATCTCTGTGTTTGATATATCCCGCGCATCTGGTCTCAGCTGCATAGCTTGTTTTTGTTTTGTTACACCCCTTGTTTATGTGTTTTTATTCATGTCCACATGGAATTGTAAGGAGCTGCGTCTTGTACATTTCCTGTTGAGCATGGAGTTTTCCATGCGTGTGAACATACTCAAGAGTTGCAATGATATACGGGTGTGGATTTATTCCCGCCTTGAAATCTTTGTGATTGAAATGAAAGGTTTACATTGAATTTTGGCTACTCCATATGGGGAGTCTATAGAGTATAGTTCCACGGAGAATACCGGCAGAATATGTCCTTAAAAAAGACCTGAGAATAATAGACTTTTGCTAAAACATACTAAAGACTACTAAAGACGACTAAAAAATGTTACTAAATTAACTAAAAATACTAAAAACTTATGGAAATGCACAAAATACTACATTGCAGTGTCTACCAGTAAGTTTAAAACGTGCGTCCACTGTTCACGGTGATTGGCGATAGATGATTCACCCAGCTCCCCACTCCCCGGCTTAATTGCACCTCGCAGCTTTTCCATCCGTTAGACTCGAACTATAGACCTCGCTCTATTTCATTCGTACCTGGTCTATACTCCAGGGCTACCTATGTCCGAGATTTTGCCCCGCTATCTCTCTATCACCGCTTCTATCCCTCTATCGTCTGCTATCCCTCTATCCCTCTGCTATTCTCTACTCTTACCATCTCTTCTATGAGAGCATCTCAACGCAACGTCACACATTTTTATCTGTGTCACTCCCCTGTCCCACTATTATCCTTCCCCACTGTTGCGTATTGACGGCCCCCCTGCCAGCGTACCAACTTTCGTCCCAAACGTGTCCTTGTCATCCCACCCTGTCTTTTTTTCCCTCCCATTGACACCCTTCCACCCTGCCTCGTACAGCTCTTCTTCCAGCTCTCAGCTCCATATTGCTGAGCTTGCGCTACTGTTGCGACCTCGGTCTCTAGAGCTCGGGAGAGCTAAAGCTCTCTCCGAGAGTGTGCAAACATGTATGTATCCCCTGCAACTCCGGCTACCGGCTGATTCATTACTCGAGTTGCTGATATCACCTGACTTGATAGGAAGTTCGGCAAACAGATCCAGCGCAGGCAGCTAGATCTTCCCGAATATGCCGCCAGCTTCGTTAACTACAAGGCGCTGAAGAAGGTTGGTTTTAACATTGCGCGTGCCCGCGCTGGCGAGGGATTATGAATTTGGCTAATTCTTTCACAGCTGATCAAGCAACTCAGCGCTACCCCGACTATCCCGGCACAGAGAACAGCCGAGGAAATCGCGAGAGCTAATGCGGATCCTCAAGGCGCTTTGCGCGCAAACAAGGAGGTGTTCTTCTTCCGTTTGGTAGGTTGTCCGAATAATTTCTTGCATATGGGAAAGTGGATATACTTATCATGATGTATAGGAACGAGAAATTGAGAAGGTGAACACTTTCTACCTTCAGAAAGAATCAGAGGTATGGCTATGTATCCAGTGGACACTCATATCCCTATCCGGAGACTTATCAGATTGCTTTAGTTTTCTCTGCGCCTAAGGACGTTGGTCGACAAGAAGCGGGTAACCCAGTCCCGTGCGGTCTCAAATTCCAAAGCACCGTCAAATTTTGCAGCTATGTTTGAAGGTTTCCAACAATTCGATGGCGACCTGAACAAACTGCAGCAATTCGTTGAGATCAATGAGACTGCCATGTCCAAAATTCTCAAGAAATGGGACAAAACCTCCAAGTCTCGTATGAAGGAGCTGTATCTGCATCGGGCTGTTGAAGTGCAACCATGCTTCAACCGTGAAGTTCTTCGAGACCTTGCAGATAGAGCTACCACCGCACGACTCGAATTGGAGGCCTGGGCCGAGGGCGAGAACATTCAATATGACGCGTCACGTCCATTGGAGCGCACCGCACCTTTAGGGTCAGAAGAGGATGAAATGGACAACCAGATCCTACAGTCAGCCTCCACCGGCAATCTGCAAACACTGCGTGAATGGATAGTCAGGCTGCAGCAGTTGCCGGATGCCCGCGAGCGCGCCACCCGTACATTCTTGACCGCCATCAACGGGTTCTCAGATGAAGTGCTTGCTCTGCTGTTGGAGAGTAAACTGGTTGACATACACGCCGAAGACGATATCAACGAACGAAACTGCCTCCACGAAGCGGCCATCTCGGGCCGATTATTCGTCTTCCATGCAGGTCTTAAGGCAGGCGTTGATTTCGCCCGCGCCGATGTCTATGGCCGAATCCCTCTCCACTACGCATGCATGCACGGCCGCGTGGATATGGTGCGACATCTGCTCGCAGCAGGCCCCCACACAGTCGACATTATGGACCATGACAACTTTACCCCTCTCATCCACAGCATTGTAAAGGGCCAGCTGGCATGCGCCGAGGAGGTTCTGTGTAGCAATGCCCGTGTCGACCCGGAGCCCGAGTCGCCCCCTTTGAAGGGAATGGATCATCGTCCCTTGAAGGGCCCGGATCATATTCCTTTGAACCTCGCCTGTCAACACGGCTCTCTCCCCATCGCGAAGATGCTTCTTGAACGAAATGCGAAGTTGCTGCCGGATGCAGAGGGACTCTACCCCCAGCATATGGTTGCACGCGCCTCACAGTCACCAGAGCTACTATTATTGCTGAAGGAACACGGTGCTGATCTCGACCAGAAGGACAAGCTGTATCAGTGGACTCCGCTGTTCCACGCAGCCAGCGAAGGCTGCGTTCCCTGCCTACGCACCCTCCTCGAGTGTGGTGTTGATTCCCAGGTCGTAGATGAGAAGGGTCTCTCGTCCATGTACTATGCTGCCTGGGAAGGGCATCTGGAGTGCATGCTTCTCCTCTGGGCCCAGCCCTCCGGTAGAAAGCCTGCAATGGGACCGCTTGACATTCTCAATGGCGTGCGGATGCAAGAACCCGGCCCGATGGGTGAACCAATGTCCATGGACACGAGCCTCTCTGAAATGGAAATGGCCGATGGTATCCCAGATCTTGAATTGCCTCCCCCCATTATCCCTCTCCGCCGCTATGGTCACAACTTCCTCGACAAGAAAGTATTCGTTCAACTTCTGTTCGATCAAGGAAATGTCGGTTCTATTGCCTTTGATCAGGCGGGCCGCCATCCCGCTGCTCGCATGACCATCTCTTCCAAGCTGTCAGATCTCATTCCTCGTACTGTCATGCTACCCATCCAGGAGGAGACACGCACAATATCGTTCCATGTGGATAACCTGGACACCTTTGCCGTCGACTTTGAGATCTTCCCTACCTTCGGTTCAAAGGTGATTGCGAAGAGTGTGGCTCTGCCAGACATCTTCCGCGCAGAGTCGTCCAGCACTGGCTCAGGCTGTCTGCCTCTATTCGACCCCAGGCTCCGTTCAATCGGCCAGCTGCGCTTCAACTTCCAAGTCATTAAGCCTTACCACGGCGATCCTCTGGAGATCACACACTTTGCTACATATTGGAAGGCTACTAGTGCACTTGACTCAGAGCACAATGGACTGGTGACTGGTTCCAGTTTGTCGGGAGATTATGTTCAACTCTTTGTACAACTGACCCGGGACCGTGTCGCAGTCCTTTACCCACAATTTATGATCAACCACCACGGAATCGATATCCCAGTGTCTCATTTGACATATGCTCAGTTCCAGGCCATTGGCGCAGACCGCGGCGCCAATAATACCCAGATCCTCCAGTTCTTGGAAACAGAGGCGACGAATGACATGCCGCAGACTCATCGACTCCTGGCGGCGTCGTTCTTGTCGCTACGCGATGTCTTGCGCAGACTGCCTATTGAATTGAATGTCAACATCTCCCCCTCTACCCATCGGCCGCGGAGGAGAAGAAGCTTGATATGACTTCTTTGGCGGATGTCAACACCTTTGCCGATGTTATCCTGACCGATGTCTTTGACCATGCCCGTGTGGCCCGTGAAAAGAACCCAGAATTCATGCGTTCCGTGGTGTTCACCTCCTATAACCCGAACATCTGCAGTGCTCTCAACTGGAAGCAACCCAATTGTGAGTTTCGAAATATAGTTCAACTTGTGCTTGTTATTAATTCTATGACTAGATCCTGTTCTTCTTTGCAACGACCTTGGCCAAATTCGGGACCTGGCTGGGAACGTCGACTCGATGCCCCATGTCAATAGCAGTGGCCGGGCCTCGATGTCGATCAAGGAGTCTGCTCGTATTGCCCAGAGCAATAACTTTATGGGCCTGATCTGCAGATCTAGCCTTTTGGTATGTTTGATTCTATTTCCGCGAGGTCTCTCTCTATAGTTCGCCTGCTGACCACTCTGTAGAATGTCGTTCCCGCGCTCGTCGAAACCATCAAGGAGCTCGGCCTTGTGCTTGTGGCCGACACCTCTGATGAGTCCGGACAGTCGGATCGATTCGAAGAGCTACCCGCCACCGATGCCATGGGCGTTGCCGAATGGGCATACCGTATGCCTGAGGGTGTCAACGGTGTGATGAGAGCCAACGGCATTCTGAGATTTAACGATATGATCGACATGTGATTCGATTCACCTTCGCTTTTCTATTGGGAACACCCTTTACATACGTCGCAATTTAATTTTTTTTTCAACGAAGATTACGAGCTTTGGTAGGCTTTGCCACGGCATATTTGCTTTATTCTCGTGTTTTCTCTTTTGCTCTTGGCTAGTTATTTCAAGCAGAGATAGTCACCGCACGTTCCCTGCCTTGCT